ATCGAATGTTTCGCGAAACGATATTTATTATCAATATGTATTTATGCAATGTTCGCGGAGCTGAATCGGTGGGTCCCCTCTTGCGAACGGTGTATATACGGGACGAATCGATGATGATTGACCCACGTCACTTAAGCTTATTTTCGTATGCAAGGAGATAAGGCTTTTAAAAGCCTCTTTCTCTTTTTTTTTCGCGCGCTGTGGTCGTCATTATCGGAGAACTGCGATGCGGCCAGTTGGTATCATGAATAATACATTATGCATAAAAATTGGCGAATTAACAGTTGAAAGCGCGAAAGTGAAGCGTAATAAGGCGAAGAAAGACCAGTAGCTACCAGGCAGTGATATCATTATTGCAGTAATTAACTTTTCTCCGATAATAGCGAATAACAAGAAGAAGCTCGATCGCGTCACATCGAGAGAAATGAAGTAAACCGATTCGATGCGCAATTTACAGTATCGCAAACGAAGTGAAGCGAAAGAAATTCGTCGCGCGATCCTTACGACCGAGCGAAGTAACGGGGGCCAGCCGCGCGCTGGCGCAGGTCAAAGACACGATGGCTCGAAGTTTGTTATGGTTCGAAGTAAAGCGGGGCCGATACATGTTTATTTTGACGCGAGACACTATAACTTCATGGACTTGTGCTGGTCCCCGAAGCGTGGAGAGGCGATAATGACGCGGTGATTTAATCTCGCCATATAATATTTCACTTGGCTCGTTACTTCACTCGATGTGTGTACATGTATACAGGCAGGCGGCTCGAACTTCACACGAGGCGTGAAGTATTTCGATTATGGTGAAGGCAGGCCATTATCCAATGGCGGTATTTAACTTCACATCACATGTGTCGACGGGCACGCGACCCATCCTCGCGTGCCTTATGAGATTTAGGCGCCTCCCCCATCCCACATCGTGAAGTTACACTTCACTGTATATAACGAAGTTCGGTCGGAGGCTGCCGCGGCGCGTGCCATTGGCTGCTGTAGTGGCTAGGAGCTTCTCCCGCGCGCGCGCCCACGCCAGTTCTGATTCCTTCCTGTATACTTCATTCATAACTTCACTGTGTATACTTTATATTCCATTTAGCTCGCAGCACCATAAAAAAAACTTCCCGTTCGAGCGTGCAGTCAAAGCCGGACGGCATTAGTCGTCATTGTGGTCTCTTTGGTGCTTTAAATCCAGCCACCTACGTAATTCTCTCTCTCGTTTCTTTTCCGAGCGGACGTTTGACTGGACTCAAGGATAGCAAGCTTAGTCTGTCTTTCGTCGACACCGCTGCAATTACGTGACCAGGCTAAACTTGAGAATTGTGTACGCTTATACGGAGCGTACCATTGTCCAGAGTCAAAGCCGAGTCAAAATAATCCGAGACACTTGGCTTGTTTAGCGTCGATTCGCGATCTTCACTCTTCGCAATACTTCACCGAGATAGAATTCTCAAGAGCTCTGTAGCACCTTCCGTATTTGGTGGCGATTCATAACCGTGGCTTTTGTTTTTTGCCTGGGAACGCGATCGAGTTTTCGGTCTGTACCTAACTCTTCATCGAGAAAGAAAATAAAACTTCACCATCATCGACGCGAGTGTTATTGTTATTGTTCCGATCAGAGCTATCCTTTACTTTCGACAGGTGTATCATTACAAAAAAATAACAACTCATTAAATCCAATATAGATTTTCATTTCTCCAATTCGTCGGCAATCAAAATCCAATGAAAGTTCAATTGTGCCCGTGTCCACACGGCTTTGTCTCTTTTTCCACGTACGACAAAAAAAAACGTTCGATCGCGCCCGGAGAGAAATAATTCAGGTTGTATATGTCGCCTACACTTTGTTGGCTTGGCATCGAATTTAATCGATAGCTACATTGCGAGAGCGGCTATACAGAGACGCGCATCCAACCCACGCCGTTTCTCGCTCGGCCACAGCGGCGGACGTCAAGGAAAAACACTCGAGCGAATTATTACAAATGCTTATGGTGCTGCGGAGAAAAGAAGAAAAATAGTTAGGGCGTGCGAACTAGCCCCCGAATGTTTTCTCCATTCGAATGTAATTGGATTATTCGGCGAGTTGTCCTTTTAATAAATCAACTCTCGCGGTCAGGAGCTCTCGAGTGGCTCGCTCATTAACATAAATAGCACAGGTGTCACCGTCTAATGAATTCTAACGAGCTCGACTTTTTACACCACGAGTGCTTCTGTACTCGTATAAAGAATTATTAACACATTCTTTCGGATCACGCCTACCCCGATCGAATTGATATTTGGACGTTTCGATGGATAAATCACTATCTTGAAAGGGAAATTGCTTCATTATCATTTTGTTCAACAGCTCGATAATCGAGTCAGCATGGTTTACCATGCCATTGAGCGTGCCGCAGTTTCTCTCTATTCGATCGAGAAAAGTCATGGCACGAATGTGCAATATCACACAGATATAAGTATTATATATTTAAGTCATAAGGGCCACGCACACATGGACTCGCCGATCTGTGAAAAAAGGCCTATGTCTGCAGTGTCCATGTACGCGTGCGTTGTGCGTAATAAAGTCTCGAAACGAGGGGCCAAGCTACATGTGTGGTGTACGATACAGACCGAGCTATCACTTATCGCCTCGTCTTTCTCCTCTGCGTGTATATTTATACCAGGACGTTTTCAGACGGCTCTCGACAAAATCTACAAAATCGAGGCGTCCTGATCGATATTGGCGCTCGTGCTCGGATTATTATTTTTCGTATCGCACGCCGGGGCGCATATTTGGCTCGATGTACTTTCTCGAAAGTTTCGCAACTCGCATAGAGATATACGAACGCTCGTGGAAAAATAATTGACCAAAAAAAGCAACATTCGCGTGTGCTTTTCACACGACGATCAACGCCTACGTAAGAGAAATATAATTTGGCTCGGAGTGGCCGTAATGATCGATCAAAAAAATTATATGCTACATAAAGAGAAATAATTGCTCCGCGGCGTCGCGCGATTCAGACTATTTGTTTAAGGTATAGTCGCGAGGCCTAAAAAACATTGCAAAGTATATGGATCGCGGGCTCCGAAATTTCGATTGCGAAGGTCAGAACGACGACGACGGCGGCGGCGGCGGTGGCTCTCGGGAGACGACTATATAGCTGCACGATCGTCTCTCGCAAATGTATATAAAAATGAGTGGCTGGGAAGGCGAGCCAGCCGAGCACGAGCCGTTGTCGAAACCTGCCTGAAACGAAGCTCCGAATTTTGACGCCAAGATAAAAAAAAAAGAAAGACGGAGTGAAACGTTCGAACCGTATACGTCCTATCGTATCTGTATAATGTGTAACATAGACTCGCGTACACACGTGCCCCATTAGCTGCATCATACTATACACTACGGCCTTATCGCCAAGGGCCATCGATTCGCCCTGCATCATCGAGTATAATATAACAGACGCCTGTGTCTGTATCAGCTATATCCTGCCAACGCCTAAAATCTTCCGTGGGTGACACGATTATTGATCACCATGAAAAAGAGACGCTCTCGGGAAAAATATATTGTCTCCTTTTTCAACGAGCAACCTCGCTTCCTCTGCATGTGTACTCGTACGTTATCGGCTGAGCAAGACGAGAATCTAGTAATCGCACGATCGTTGTCATTGTTTTTGTTGTTGTTATTGTTGGTACCATGGAGGCAGTCGCAGTAAAACGACTCTCGAGCGCACCGTTGCCGATTTGCCTGATATACGAGACTGTACCACAAGTGCAGCTGCACACGTGCATCATCGACTCGACTTGTATGACCAATCGCATTATTGAAATATTTCCAGTCGCAACAAAAACCAAAACGTTTTACAATTCATATAAACAAAAAATGATTCGTAATAATGTAATCATGTCGATTCGATCTTCGTACGTCGGGAAATTCGCTCGCACAAGCTCGAAACATGAACCCACCTCCGACGCTGAATCGACTCTTTTCGACTCCAAACTTTGCTTTGCGCGGGCTCGCGAAAATCCGTTAAAATTTGAAATTACGCACACGAGCACACACGTGCATGTGTGTGCTTTATTTTTGGATATGCTAGCCTATGCTGTCCACTAATGTATCTCAAAGTAATAAGATCTCGACAGTTGGTAAAATACCTACTTTGGGTTACAGTCATAGTCGCCGCCGCATAAATCTCGCATTCGTTTTATTTGTAGCAGCTGACGTTAAAACGATTACTTTCATTCATTTTTTTGGATTTTGGGTGACTTACCGATGCGGAAAATAAAAGCTCTTATTCGTGCCGATTGCGATAAATCGAGATTTACACGTGTGATTGATTTTTACAGGGTAAACGCCGCTTGCCCTTTTACCTGTTTTTCGTCATTTTATTGCTTCCTCATAGAGGAAGCTTTTTTTTTTTCAAGGATTTACTTAATCGAATAATTCAAGTCTTGATGGTCAATTCAATTTTTGATAAAGTTTTAAAATAAAACAGTATCGATTGCAGTGGTCTGAAAGCTAAGTTAAATTTTTAAATCCCAACATTTTCACTCGGTAACAAATATTAAGAAAAAACTAGAGTAACTTCGTTGAAATTTAGTATTTTATTAATACTATTGTGAATAACGCAACGCTTTTACAAACTTGACATTTACAGTATTACAGAATAATTTATAAAACAAATTGAGTTCAAATACTCATAAGAGTGCGGGTATTTTCTGCAAGCTGCGCGTGCTCTGTCTGCGCAGTACAGTTTGCCTTTTAAAATAACCTCAATATGCCATAGCGCAAAACACTGTAGTCTGTACTACCAAGTTTACCACCGGTGGCGTCCTTGCGAATCGTAAACAAATCACAAGTATCGCACGCAATTTTCTGTGTCATTCTAATATAAGCAAAAATTATTATGAATAATTACAGACTTCCCAACAGGTAATAATATTTTCTTATTGACCAATCATACGATTGACATTTTACCATCACCAGTTTCCTCTGTTTATGCTTGATTTAAACCGTTGTTGTAAGCTCATCATAGAAAATCATTTCACATACACAATCTCTCATATGAAACCGAATTGTAAACTGACAGATCTCTACTTGCTAAATATCATTCATTATAAACTAAGTATAGTTTTTTACTTTATTAATTAATAATAATAATCTATACGTTTGGAACACAATTTAAAATGCAGTAGTAAAATGCTTTATTTACCAAAAATGGCACTGTTCAACTGTTTTATAAATCTTCATTTATTTTCAGTTCCAAAATGAAAGGTGTCATAGATGTCTTAGCCATGCAGAGGGAAAAAAGGTTGAGTGTACAGAAATCTGTTACGCTAGATTATACTAAAGCAAGTGACAGTTTTACAGTGGCCAGATTTATATTCGAGTGTGGTAAATAGTCTTCTATTAAAATTATTCTTTTTCTTTAGTAATTGTAATCTTTTTAATGTTATAGTTATCATTACAATTAATTTTTTACTTTGTTGTAACAAACTTTAATTAATATAAATACTTAACTTATTTTTATTCTTTCAAGGTCTTAAATTAGAAGCCCATCCTCTGACGCTTTCTACAGCAGCAATATTGTATCATAGATTTATGAGAGAAGCTACACCTCAAGGATATGATCCATATGTAATAAACTGTAGTTGAAAAGATTCATAGTTTTGATCTCATCTAATGTTATTAATACTTACTTTTTCAGTTAATTGGATCAACATGTTTATATTTAGCTGGCAAAATGAAGGATAATAATCTGAAAATTAGAGATGTTATGAATGTAGCCTACAGTACCTTACATCGAGGAGCTCCACCACTAGAGTTAGGAGATCAATATTGGGCCATGCGTGATGCTATTGTTCAAGCAGAATTATTATTAATGAGAATGCTTAAATTTCAAGTCATGCCTGAACATCCTCACAAAGTGAGTTGAAATTATAATAAGAAATTATTTTAATGAAATCATTCACACATTAACCACTTTGTTTGATTTTCAGTATATGCTGCACTTTTTGAGATCATTGCAAGCATGGTTTGGGGAAGAAGAATGGGCAAAGTATCCAGTAGCAAAAACTAGTATGGCACTATTACAAGATTTTCATCACGTTCCAGCAGTTCTAGATTATCCACCTAAATTGGTGGCTATAGCCTGCATTAATTTAGCCCTACAAATTTATGGTGTTGTAGTACCTTTAATGGATGAGTGTGATCAACATCCCTGGTTTAATGTGAGTGATGATTACACAATAATGTTTTTCATGTTTAAAGTATAACATTTCCCATAATAGATAAAATACTGACATCTATTTTTTTTCTTTTAGGTATTTTGCAAAGAATTAACAAGAGATAAATTATGGGAAATAATGGAAAAAATTATGGGAGCTTATGATGAAGAACCAGAAACGAAAGATCACTGATTGTTTGTCATTTTACTTCAAGTTAATAATAAAATGAATTTTTTATAAGCTTCGATTCTGACACATATAGTAATATATTATTATGTGAGGATGTAAATATTATAAATTTGAATAAAAAAACATTTTCAGTCGAAGATTACGATTCATTAGATCATTTAAAATCTTAATTGTCAATAACTTTGTTCACAGTCTCATTTATTTTGGTCAAATTTGTATAAATAGACATTATATATTTATACTGTGTTAAAAATTACATTGAAGTATAATTTTTGTTACTATAATTTTTTAGTTTTTTTGTGTTTTTATGAACCAGAATACATTATTAACATGGAGTAAACTTACAGGAAACAACAATTTTTAAACGAACCTCAGATGCTTTCTTACAGAATACTTTCTTCAATTTTTTTTGTAAGAAGTATTTTTATAAATTTTACGTTATGGTTGACATCAAGTATTCCATTTCATTTTGCAAAAATTTTTCAAGCATAAATGATAAATCTTCTTGAATAATAAAGGTTTCTGTGCACATTTATGGAATGAATAGTTAGGATGGTGATTAAACTGTAGAGTTGCAACGGATAGTTGAGCTCTCTTTTTATGACAAATTGATTGTAATTGATTCTTATTTTTCAAAATGACGGGATTTAACAAGAATATTTAGTTTTTTTTCTATTAACAGTTCATTTTGATGGAAATATAACTAATAATTATAATAAAAAAATCGTCTCGATTTAATTACAAGTGCATTTCATATATTACATAATATGATTAATACTATTAATGCAGTCTAAATATGAACCAAGAAAATAAGTTGTATAAGTTTGAATTAAAACAATATCACTTATTTCGTTTAACATACAAAATCGTATGATCACTCGTATTTTCAATCATTCTTTTAAAAAATGATCATTTGGGTTAAAATATTTATTTTTACATTTTTTTATTACTTGATAAAATTAGAATTTTTTTAATCTAGTGATTTGTTGTAGAATAGCATAAAATCAATTGACATTATTATTTTGACTAGTATTAAAATTGTTGATCCCTTTTTTTTAATTTTGTCCTTTTTTTTTAAGATCTTTTACTAAGAGCTTCTTTACAAACGCAATTCAAGGTGAAAAAATCAAATTGGAGTAAAAAAATACAGATTCTGATTTCTGACTAGATAAGTAGAAAATTTTCCTGAAGGGGATTCTGCAATTGAGGTAAAAATGGAAAGTTTCAAATAAGTTTTGTGAGATTTTTAATTAAAATTCTAATAAAACTATGTCGATATTCAAACAATACAGAAAAGTCAAAATATCTGAGCATTACTCTACAGAAAAAAATTCACTTGGAAGTTAAAAAAACGCATGTGTAACTTTGAATTTTTGGCCTGATTCTAATATCCCCTTCAGGTAATATTATTGAGTACTCATATGATTAGCATCAAGTACTTAATATACATATGAAATAATTTGTATTGTTTGGTTATTTATATTTGGTATATGAAGCGTATCCGAAGTTGGACGCAAGATTGAATGGATAAATGACTCGCCGACAAGTAGTAGTAGTATAGATAAATAAAGGGTCATTGGCAGATGTTGAAATAGTATCATTATGTAGTCGATAAGGTCGCTGCGCGTGTAAAGAGAAGAAACGCGTTTGAGCCAAAATCGTACGCAATTCGAGCTTGCACTGCTTACGACTCTCTCGCCTTCATGAAGTAGGTGAGCATATCGATCGGCAACGGAAAAACGATCGTCGAATTTTTCTCGGCCGAGATGGTGTTAAGCGTCTGGAAAAAAATCAATCATCAGTAATCAAGAAGTATATCAATGACAGAGGTATGGTATCTTACCTGTAGATAGCGAAGTTGCAGGGCGGCCGGGGAATCACCGATTACCTCGGATGCCTCGCGAAGGGCTCGACTCGCTTTCTGCTCGCCTTCAGCGGCAATCACCTGAAAGTTTAAGAAGCATAAAGTGTAAGAGAAAAGTGAAAAAAAACAATAGACATTAGTTAAAAAATGTCCGAGTTTAATAACCTTGGCTCGAGCTTCACGAGCAGCTTCGGCTTCGGCCGCCATAGCTCGCTGGAGTTGTACCGGAAGTCGGACGTCTTTGCTGCAATAGGATTTAATAAGAATGGTAAATTATCAGACAAGTAAAATAAAGGATGAATGAGGAACTTACATTTCTACGCGTTCAACTTTGATTCCCCATGAATCGGTAGCCTCGTCCAACGAAGCCTAGGCAAAAGAAGCGAATGAAACGATCGAAAGAAAAAGTGAGCAGTTGACAGAACGAGGAGGCAATTACCTGCATCGTGCCGGATATGGTCTCTCGCTCGCTGAGGATCTCGTGAAGCGGCCTCGTGCCCATGGTGTTTCGGAGCGTAGTCTGGGCCAGCAAGCGAGTACTGTGGTGGGCGTTCTCGACGTTGGCGATCGAGATGGTGGCGTTGTTGACTCGATAGTAGACGACCGCGTCCACCGACACAGTCACGCTGTCCTTGGTCAACACCTGCGTACACGCATACGAAAGCCGATCCGATTACGCGCGCTCAACAAAAAATCGGTTGAAGAGCATACCGATTGCGGCCACTTACCTCTTGAGGTGGTACGTCGTAGGTCCTCGTTCTCAGGTCGACGCGAGCGTAGCTGTCAACGCACGGCAGGATGAAAAACATTCCTAGAAAAGAAATAATCCGAGGTCAAGCCAGTGAAAATAAGTCGATGTTTCATTCGTGCTGCGTACCTGGTCCCTTGGCTCCGCCGGAGAGAAGTCGGCCGAGCCTGAATATGACGGCTCTCTCGTATTCCTGCACCACCTGCGACACGAGCGACAAAAGACAAAGCTCAGTTTACCTTTGCAATTATATACGTGCAAATTTACATAGGTACGCGGTGCACACAATACGCGTGTAGCATACGCGAGTGTAACTATCGATTGACCGAGTCGTCAGCCAAGCCCTCTGCGAGTGCAGGCGTATTATTGTCAATGGTGCGCACTGCACACTCGTTACTCATTACTCGTTACAAGATCCGATATAAATATGCAGTGCGACCGCATGAATAATAATAACAATAAAGTTATCATTACTTGGAATACAATGCACTTCGGTGCTGTCACGAAATTAACAGAATCAGTCGACGATTCATTTGTTTTTTTTTTTTTTTTATATCTCGCGTTTTTAATTAGATGTAGAGTGCGTTTAAAATTAATTGACAATTACCTTGAAACAGACGAAGAGAGAAAACGGCATCGTTATGACAACGAGCATCCAAGAGAGATAAATGAGGGCTTTGCCACACGTGCCCGAATCGTTATCATCCTTATTCGCATCGTCAGCTGTAAGGTTGATTTCGTCTTAATGGGGTGTAACATTCATCATTATCATTAGTTTTTTATTTTTTGCATATTATTTTTTATAGCGATATGTATCATAAGCGAAGCGCAGCAATGACTTGGAGCCTTAAATCAACTGAATACAGACGAAATCTCGATCTTTCATTAACGATATGACGTCGCGAAGTGCGCGTAAGCATCATCGTGCATATGGATCTGCTTCAAAAAAGTAAGCTATGATATAATCGATCATGATCGAAGAGAAAAACGATTTATCGCTTAGTGACTATAAATAATTAAACATCGAGCCTCACTGCGTGCTTTGGCCGATTGCACGAATCAAGTGCAAGGGATTCCATTCATTTTACGAGATCGTGCCTTCGCGAAATTCATCAACCGATCCGTAAAAAAGTAACCAGTTAATCTTAATTCTAAAAAGTTATTATCTGATAGAAAAATTATTTGCAAAACTGACGATTCATTTTTATCTATAGAAAAAATCAGAGTTATCGGATTTTTTCGACTCCGTTCAAGCAGTGCTTATTAGCTTCGGTTTGTATGACACTCGAACTCTGATCGCGTTATGGATTATACTATTTCCATACCTACATTAGCTATTTGAGAAGGGGACATTGTCATGCTAAATATTTAAATGCAATTTTGATCTAAAAATAGATCTTTTTTACTCAATGTAATAAGATCCACTATAGATGGCTTATAGATTTTTCTATAAAGCTCATGAGGTCAGCTTGAACATACAACTGTCAATGAAACAAATATCCCATCATTGACTATTGTTTCTGTGTCATTTGAACTAATCTGCTTATTAGAAATAAATTATGATAATGTCATTTTTTTTCACTACGCTATCATATAATTTAAAAATAGACGATAAATTTTTGATATTTGTAGACAATAGTAGAATAACTTTTTTAAATCCGCAAATTCAATTCGGTTTTAATAAAAAATGAATTTTTCGGCAATTAAAAAAAAACATTGAAAATTATAAGTTTCTTTAAAAAACTATTCTAATATCATTTTGGTATAAAGTATTTTTAAATTCGATATTTATTACATTTATTGCCACATTAGGTGAATTAAAAAACATGTAATTAATGTTTTCTAATTCAATTTAGAGAGAAATTGACTAGTTAGTCATACAAAGTTAAAAATTAAATTTTTTTTGTAATTTCTCTTTGTTTTTCTCGATAAATTCAGAGTTTACTTTGTCTAATAAATGTATGAACAAAATCAACATAATTTTAGCCCTTAAAGCCCTTCAATTTTTTTTGTATTATTTTCAATTGGAAATGCATGATTTAATATTTAAAATATCGATATGTTTGATGATAAATTACTTAATGTTATGAAAATCATATGAGAATTCATCGAAAAATACTTAATGAAGAAGCATTAACAGAAATAAATATATTATATCGAAGATTTTCATTAATTGGACACAAAGTTAACTTCGTCGAATACTCATTGAATGATTAACAAATATCAATTATAAGTAGAGTAATATGTAAAAACCATCCAGATTTGATGATCAGACATAGTAGAATTGAACGGTTTAATTGTACTAATAAAGATATAAATATAACAGAAATTAAGACTACATTTGAAATTATGCTCCACTGTTTACGAAACTGCGTTACTGAACCTAACCTTTGGGAAGTATAAAATCTTCAGCATAATCATAAAAACTAATTTAAAGGAAAAAAAACTTCGCAAGTTGTATAACAATAAAATTATTTAGGAATATTTGAATTAATTAAAATTTACAAAATAACAGAATCACATTGTAAGGTTGAAAAAAAAATTATCAAGCCGGGATAAAGAGAGAAAGAGAGAGAAACAGTTTTTAAGCGATGCTGGAAAATTCCCATGCCTGGGGATATGTAAGCCTAAAATACTTGAGCATTGCATTTGATTTAAACGAAAGAAATATTTAAGAAAGGAATCATCTTCGCTAATTTAATTAATTAATGAAAGTCGAAAGTCTGAGTACACTTTATGACTCACCTTTGTCCATGTGATCGAAATTCATCGTTCAAAGCTTAGCAGCCAGTGTTCTGGCCACTCTGAATTCAATTACAATTGTCTTAATCACCGAACGATTACTACTGGCTCGAAAGAGAAATTATTACTCGAACATGCAGGACAGGTACACGAGAGAGCGTCTCCGGTGGACTGTTGCAGGAAATTTCCCCAGGGAAAATAGGCGGCTTGGCCGTGTACCTACGCGTTGTTGTAACGAAGTCGGCTCGTGCGCGCGCTTCGGTCCTTTGGCAATGCAGCTATATACCTATACAACAAGTGTACGCGATACACACAGGGCTCGCGAAGGAGAGGGATGTGTGTATCCTCAGCTTGCGGCCACTGCCGGCTTCCCTCTCTCCGTCTCCGTCGCACGGGCTCTCTCTCTCTCTCTCTCTCTCTCTCGCGATTATCGACTCGGGCGCATCGGCGAGCTTGCACACGTCTCGCGCAACTTGTTGAAGCTTTTATGAATCGTACCGTGCACCGATGCCGACGATACGGATAATTAGCCAATGTTTGACTTGGAATGGAAAACATATGTAAAGGAATTGATCAACGATCGACTAGCTTGAAATTCCCTTCGCTGACGCTAATCATACGCTATACGTTAGACACGCCGAACAGAGGGCACATTTCCCTGCGTTGAAATGCGCACGCAACTTCGACGGTGACGCATTTTGCGAGCGATGCAGCCAACTCACGTATTTGCTATTCGATTCCCTGATTCATGTCAACAAACACTATGCATATAAAATGAAGAAAATATATAGGATTCTACAATCACGGATGAAAAAATCGTTGTTCGGAAAATTGCATATTTATTTGGAAAAGCTTATGAGCCCTAATTGGCATTGTATTTTAACATAGTTCATGTTTGCTTGGCAATGATTCGAAAAAAGATACACTCCTAAATTTTATGGGAATAAATTCAATTCGAAACGTGAGAAACAATCGAGGTTCAGACCAAACCAAACAGCCATTGAATTTGTTTTTAATCTCAACTGTTTTCTACTTTTTTTCAAAATAGAAATCATTGTCAAGAATCCTTTGTTTCTCTTTCATTTATATTCAATTTTGGTGCAGCATTATCGAACGCTATATACGTTTAGAGCCCTTAAGCGTTGCGCAAATAGAATTTAATGTTTCGGGCAAAATGGAATACACGAACAATAAGCCGGCCACAATAACAGGCAATCTCATTTGCACGACAAACAATAGAAAGCATAAAATGACCAGGTGGGCATGCACAGGCTAAATAAACATTTCATATTTTTCAAATATAACAAATGAAACTCGGGTAAAAAAATTATTTTTAGAGTTTTTAAAAAATTAAAATAAATTAGTCGATGATGTGAAGTACATTAGCAAATAATATAACATGAGAGTATTCTATAGTCCTCATCGCTATTCAAGAGTCTCTTTGCACCTAACAGTAGTTCTCTATAGTCGCTGAGTGACTTCTGGTAGCTCTTGACCGTATTCTTCTGTACACACGTTCATACACGCTACGAGCACTACAAGCTCTATCTAGCAAACGACATTTACATGACAATAGTCTATTTAATCATTATTAATAATTGATTAAATTAATATGAATACTCGTTTAATAGGTACAAGATAATGTTTAGACATGAGTCATAGCATTTAAAAGCTCCCAGTAGCCAACTAGTTTTAAAACAACAATTTCTCTAAGACTTGCGCAATTCATTCTCTATTTAAACAATTAGTAAGTCAGGAATTAAGGATATTCGTTTTCCTAAAAAGTCGTCTTAAAATGAGAGTAGTTTTTCATTTTGAGATAAGGCATAGAAATTGAATAAATCCAATTATGATAATTAAAAATAATTGAATAAGATTTATTGGCGAAAAAAAATTAATGAATTCGTGCAATCAAAGTTTGAAACACAATCAAGTTTTTTTTCTATTGTTTTGTACCATTTAAGCCTTTGAACAATTAGCAAATGACGAAAACTTGATTTAAAAAGAAGGCTCGCCAGCAAAATTATTTTTTACAAGGACGATCGGTTAAAAAGTACGAAAGATTCTCACAACAGTTTACGACTTGAAACGAAAGCTCATACGGAGGCGCTGTGGAAGCCCATAAGTGGCATCGACCAGTGTATATTATGATAGTTTGCGCTGTCTCTCTCTCGCACAGGCCTAACTGCGCACCGACACATTCACGAAAGCGTCCAGTAAGTCCGCAGTCGATGCGTCACAAACACACGCGCGAGCGAATCGCGACCTTCCAGTTCCTGCCCCGGCTGCGCCGCTGCTGTTAAATAATTCACCGATGACAAGCTTTGCGGTGGCTACTTCGCACTACAAATCCATATACGCGCACACATACCACGACGCTGTCTTACCTACGTACTCGTGTCGCGCGCGCGGCATGCGTCGAGTGCCCAATCGATGCCGAATGCACATGCATCGTGCCGCACGGGCTTCAATAGGCCGCTCGACGCATTTTTTTAAAAATCCAACACCCACGAATCGACCATACGACTCTGTTCGCGTCGATACTTTTTACTTTTTTAATTTGATTTTTTAATTATTCAAGGAATTAAAGCTCCAAGCTTATGCTTTGCGTGAAAATTTTATGGCTCAATTTTAAGCCAACGGGATCGACAGTTTTTTCTTTTTAATTTTTATTTTAAAGTCGTACCCGTAAAAGCAACTGACAAAATTGAATAATTGACGTGTACCTTGTTGGTTCATACGATTCCGGATTTGAATATCATCTGGTCTTGAATTGATAACTGTAGATTGGGTTCCATTCATATTTGTCAAGGGAACTGACATCCCTATTGGACTGACACGTCTTGTGGATGACGCCAGCGACTGAAATTATAAAAATGAGACGCTATTAAATAAATTGCACTAAAACTGAATTTAAAATTTTATAAATATAATAAATTAAATTAAATACAGTTAATTGGTGTAAGTTACTTTGATAAACAAATCAATTTTATGTATCAGAATGAATTACGAATTATGCATAATCTGCCAATGGCCAGTTTAAAGTATCTTATTTTTTAAGAAACTACTCCTTGGCAATCATTAAAATACCCTTATACTATATTCTAACTATAGCAACTCGAACTGACGTCTTACACCTTAATGTTACAACATTTTCTGCAAAAGCAGGCAAATAATTGCACATTCGTGTCAACAAAATGTACAAAGTCGACGACAGTTAAAATTAAAACTTGGCATACATCTTTTGCTCTTTAAAAAGTTGACGAGCTTGATGAGTATCACTCGATTAATTAATAACGAACTACAAGCAAGCCAATAGAGGTCACTCCGTAAGACTAATCGACGTTGCTTAAAGAATTTAAACGTAATTTGAAAAACGAAAAAACGTTGAAACAAGATGAAGATAAAATATGGAAACGCAACAATGTGGTTTATGTTAATATTAATTGTATATGGATACGTACTGGAGGCACACGCACTCAGCGTCAATTTCGTCACCTGCCGCGGCTGAACTTTATAGGTACGGCGGCGGCGTCGCTCGTCGTCGACGGCCAACGTAACAATAAGCGCGCTATAATGATTTAAAACGTCTGGAAGCGGCCACGGTCGCTTATAGACCTTTTTTACCTATAGAGAATCGATCTACATTTTCACATCTCCTTGTTGCTATGTGCCACGGCATGGCTTAGCTATACACGATATAAATCATTGTTTGCCTCATCCAGCTGTTGCACTTCAATTTAATACATCGTAATTGCTGTGTACGCCACGTTGTATGCGCGTCTAATAACTCGTGCTCGATAATATTTTATGAAGATTCCGCGCTGCTTTCGCATTGTTTTGCAAAAATACACGCCATGTAATGCTTCGCCGGGATGAAAAAAAAAAGTTTTATAAATTGCACTGCATAATTATAGAACCTATATACGAAGGCATGCTGTACATATTTCTTTTGACATAATGATACATTGGGCTATATAAAAGCAACAAAAGCTACGCAACGCTGAAAGTCGTAAAGTAAACCCTCGTTCGAGATCGACAACCTCTGTCCCAAGTTTATTGGAATATTCCCAAATTTACGTGAGACTGGTTATGAAAAATTTGATTGTTTTATTTTATTCGTATAATATTGAACGGTGTCTTGGTCATTCTCTGGCTTTTTTATACAATATATCGTCGTAGACGTTATTGTCATTCGCCAATCGAGTAATTCAAATACGAAACAGTCTCCACAAATATCGAAAATCATTGACAGTGAATTTAAAACATGGCTCAAAGTGAGCTTGAACATATCGAAAATCTGGGAATTAAACTCCAAGAATCCAGTGCAGGAGTTGAACACGCTAAGACAATTTTTACTAACGTAAAAAATAATGCGTCATTGAAAAAAGTAAACAAATCAACTCTCGCAGCCGTGTGCTTAGCGTTAGGCTCCAGGATAGCGGAATATCCATTGACATGTACTTGAACAGAGAGTACGAATTCCTAGTACAGAAAGTTTTATTAATAGAATCAGTAGGAAACTAAACTTCGATCTAGAATTGATCAACTGCGCGAAGCAAATTGACACAACCTTAATTGGAAAAAATGTAGTATTCAGCAATGAGCCGAACACCGTGGCAACTACAATGATTTGGCTGGCTAGCATACATCTTAATCGTGCAAACCACCTACAAGAAATTGCAAACGCATCTAATCTATCAAAAGAGACGATTAAAACGTTAGGTGAGAAATTAGTATTTAAACTTGTGTCTGAGTTTCCAGTTCTTACAACTATACTTCTTGCTTAAAGCGTCAACGAAAAACGCCAAGCCAAGAAAAAGTTTGACTTCAAAAATATGTCAGCCAAAAACAAGTGATCACATGATTACAACAGAATTTTTTTAGATATAATTTATGATTGAACATATTAAATTTTTGCATATGTATCAATTGACATTTAATTTATTGTAATTTTATAACATTTAATTTTAATTTTATGTAATTTTATTTTATGTACAATTCAGTCTTACATTAGTATACTGTGATAAAATCTGTTCAAATTTATACTCATTCCAAAGAAAGCAATACATTTAAGAAAAAGAAAAAATACCATAGAAAATAAAGATTCCTTGTAAATAAAAACTTCAAATATTTTGTAAAATTTTTGTTCAACCTGCTATTTTCATAAAATTTAAGATTTATGATTTTTTTCTTTTACAAATCGAAACCTCTCAGTATTAGAAGATTGAAAAATATATCAACATCCCTGACGGAAAAAAAATCGTTTAAGAAAAAGTAAAAGTAGTAACTAAAACCATCATACTCAATTGTAAAATGTAATATAATGTAAAAAAATGTAAAATCACTAGCGATTTCGGACAGCCAGTGCATTAAAAAACGCAGCATAAAATCACATTTTTTTACACTTTTTTACATTTTCTTCAACATGCTATCCGCGTGTGATCGCATCGACCGTAGCAAGTGATTTTCGTGAAAAAAATGTATTGATTTTTATGAATAAATTAGGACAAATTATGATGGACAATACGCTTAGCCATCTGCTACTGACATTATAGCATTGTCATAAGCGCGAACGGCCTTCGCTACGCAAGATTTTCGTTTTCTAATCATTACCGAATTCAATATGACTGTAATTGTACATAGTTACTTTGATCTCTTGTAGTTTCACATACGAGTTTTTAATTCTCTATACAGATCGTAGTGCATGTAAAAGATCAGTACAGGTTACGACGCGGCAGCGTGAACATCAGGAGATGTAGCAAGTGATTCTCTTAAAAAAAGAATAAGATACATTTCAAGTTACAAGTGATTGTGAATTGTGTTTAAGCGAGTTGAACGATGGACACATTCGAAGACGGATCCACTGCAGGTTTCGATGGACAAAAAATTTTAGAGACATTGAAGAGTTTAAAAAAAAATACCAACTGGGAGCTCGTAGATGAAAGACGCAAATTTATCTATCAAGTTAATCCTTTAATCAAACAATGTTTCAGACAAATCCCACTACTTCCAAATGTCCAAAACGTTTTAAGTTCCGAAGACGTCGAGCGTCTTGCCATTGATTGCATCAACTTTGAGCATGAGGTAGAATTCGAAGATTTCATTTACTTCCTGTGTATCACCGGCTATAAGGACGAGCCCGAGCTCGATGGAGACGGCAAGCCATCGTCGCGTCGCACAACACCAGTACATATTGCGGCTAAAAAGAATCAATTCAGCTGTAATGATCTTTTTGATATATACAACCGATACGACGTCAATTACACCGACGAATCTGGACTGTCGCATTTCCACGTGGCCTGTATGAATGGCTATTTCGATGACGTCAAGAAATTTCTCGAGCTCGGCCAAGATCCTAATTGCCTCTGGCTAGAAACAGGAGATTCGCCACTACATTTGGTTCTGTCGGGCGACGAGACGTTGTTCGATCACGACGAGTCGGTCGAACCACTGCTGAGAAATGGTGCTGATCTTAATTTGGCTAACAAGGAGGGATTGACTGCTTTGCACATTATTAGCAAGAAATACACTTCCCGGTTTAAAAGAGTTCCTGAAGTGCCGAAAATATTATTCGAAATCAGTGACGAATTGAATCTGCCGTTGCCGATCGATGCTCGTGACAAGTTCGGCAATACACCATTGCATTTAGCAGTGCTCAACAACAGCGTTTATGTTACTCAAATGCTGCTGAGAAGAGGCGCCAATCCGAATCTGGCCAACGACGAGGGATCGACACCTTTGCACCTATTTTACATGAGACGCGATTATTATGACACCGGTTTGGTGGAGATATTTTTCAAAATGTGCGACGAAGTGAATCAGCCGGTGCAAGTCGACGTGGTGGACAAGTTGGGCCGGACACCACTACAGTTGGCCGTGGCGAATCTCTATCCAGATTGCATTGATATTCTCTTTGAACGTGGCGCCGATCTATGTAGATTCGTTTTTCCAAGTGATTATTTTGCCACCAAAATATCTAAATCGAGGCCATCTTCAATTACGTTCAATTGCAGATTGAGAATAGCGTCCGGCGCGTTGGCCGTTGTCGAACGAATTGAGAATAAAGGATATCAATTGAAGCGAAGTGACGCCTTGACGATCATGAAATGTTTTGTCGAGTACAAATTGTTCGAGAATTTAGCAGATCTTCATCAATTTTGGTACGATGATAAGGGCTTCACAGATTTCGCAAAATATATCAGGATCTGTCCGGGCATATCGCATGTACAAAGCTATCTAGATGACGAGAAGAGGATGTACAAAACTGGAAGAGAAATAAGGGGAAGTCCGAGTCTGCCGCTCAATGAAATTGTGCGACTACAACCCGAAGAAGCGGCGAAATTATTCACATACGAGGACTACTGGAAATTTGCTTGCTCGTCCCATTTGAGTTTTCAGTGGGATAAGTATCAGGAAATAAGTGCATTAAATCTGTGCGAGAAACTATCGAGAGGATTTTTCCGGAGCTGGGCTCTGGATCCTTTCATGGAACTGATACACGACCGACTGCCGGTTCTCTGTTGTGAGATGATCATCGAACAACTATCGAACGAAGATTTATGCAATATTTGCTTGGCAGCTGCAGGAAAGAATTCGTGATGACGTTAAACATTTTTTGTATTCATTTTTTGTCTTTTTTCATTAAATTTCTGTAGACTTTTTATAATAATTCAAATAAATACTTTTAAAAAAGTGAGTTCCAATTTTCTTAGTGATAAGCACACGATCATTTGAAGTATAAAATATATATGGGTCAGATTCAGAATTTTAGTTTATGGGTTTGCTATTACTCGAAAAAACTCGACTACATCGAGTTTTCTTTTGAGTTCCCCATTTATAAAAAAAAAACCAATTCGACGATTGATGCGTCGAGTTACGTATAGAAGCAGCCTAGTTGCAGTGTCTCTGTATTATTTCTACTTTCTCTTATGCTTCTCCTACCGACCAACTGAATTAGGGGTCATCGAATTCGGTAAAAAGTGTCAGTCTAGCGAAGTAGGGGCGTTGCTTATGCCAAGTCATGTGCTATATTGGTATTAATTCCTCGAATTTTCGTATGCACGAGTGACCCCCACTATGCTGGATTTAGACTTTCCAATCGTGACTGAATTCAATGACTCTGACTGTCATAACTACTTTAATCTCTTGTAGCTTCACCTACGATTTAATTTCAAAAAAAAATTCGGTTCATCATATGATTTAACATTTACAACTTAATTTAATCATTGAAAAATTGAAATAGTATGTTTTGCACCTAGGGAGTGAAAAACTGAAAAGTCTCAGAGCACGTGTAATTTATCATCCGAGGCGAAGCCGAGGCCGATAAACATGTGCTCTGAGGCTTTCTTTTTCGCTTCATAGGTGCGTATACTATTTTTCATGAATCCCCCAGCAGAAATTAACTTTTTCGTTTTGGCCGCCGGGACGAAAAAGGTTAGTTTCGGCTGGGGTAGCATGAAAAGTAACATTTTAGTTTTCAGCTCAGCTCAACGGGAGTAAAATGTTACTTTAGGTTGGAGTAGCACAAAAACGTTCTTTCGTCTTCGAGTCCGGGGACGAAAGTAACACTTTTGCTCCCTAACAGCTTCACAGCGTGAAAGTAAACTCTCCTTATCAACCGTAACTGAAATATTAAGTTTATTTAGTTAACGTGCGTAGATTGAGTAAAAATATCATGAATCAGAGCAATGTATCATCTTTTGATGAATCAGAAAGTAAAGAAGAAGTCATTAGGAACTTCGATGATGAAGCCGGATTAATAATTGCGAGAGAGACTTTGCCAGAAAAATCAAAAGATCGGTATCAACTAGTGTACGAAAATTATAAAAAGTGGCGTTTTCAGAACAAAAATTGTATATCGGCATCGCATGAAAAAAATCTGGTGGTTTATTTCAAGGAATTGAATTCTAAATTAAAGCCACCCACACTCTGGAATATATGGTCGATGCTCAGAACAACTTTGAATTGTAATGAAAGAATAGATATTACGACATTTCTGAGTTTGAAAGCTCAATTGAAAAAGTATTCAAACGGCTATAAACCTAAAAAGTCTGCTGTGCTAAAATGGGCAGAAATTCAAAATTTTATCGACCCAGCACCAGACCACGTTAATTTGTCTTCAAAGGTAGTACATATATTTTAAATTTTAGCCCAATAATTTTACTTTTCATCTAATTTGTAATTTATAATAATTTCAGTGCGTTCTTATATTTGGCATTTGAGGGGCACTTCAATGTGATGAAATTATAAAATTGTCACCTCAAGATGTTTTAGACATGAGTGATGTACATCGATTCAACATAAGTATCAAAGATACAAAAACATATCTGGATCGTGAGTTTATCATCGGAGAGCCATTTTCTACGTCAAAATCAAACAATACATCTCATTGAGACCGCCAGGAAACTTCAGTGAGAGATTTTTTATTAATTACAACAACGGAAAATGCACACGACAACCTATGGGCAAAAACAAAATAGGAGGAATTCCGGAAACAATAGCTCTGTTTTTGAATTTAAATAATCCAAAATTATACACAGGCCATTTTTTTCGACGAACTGCTGCTACACTTTTATCGGATTCCGGCGCGGGACTGGTGATGGTAAAACAAATGGGAGGTTGGAAGTCGGATTTTGTTGCGCAAGGCTACATCGACATATCAATGCACAACAAAAATAAGATTTTTCAAAGCCTAACTCATGCAGCTGCATCAAAAGCGAGCTCTCGAAGTCGAGAGATGCTCACCGCAGAAAATGAGATGAGGAGCTGTCCAGTACCGTCGACCAGTGCTCAGAAGGAACGTCAGGTGCTCGACGACACTGCTGCTGCTTCAGCACTGCTCGTTGCAGAAGACGAGATTGTTAGCGCTGAAATTTTAAAAGAATTTTTTGTCGATGAAAACAGTTTCGATGCAGTGACGTGCGTGCACGAAAATTTCACGGAAACTTTGCAGCCAGAAGAGTTTACCACGACTCGAGGAAAAAATTTAAACGTTGATGAAAGAAGCACCTCGAAAAAAACACCATTTTTTATTAAAAAACCTGTGAAATTGATTTCCAATGAGGCTAAGAACGAAAATTCATCTGCATCAAAAATTGTAGGCAATTCAGCGAGTAAAAGGAAATCTAATGCGACTGAAGAAAGTGAGCCTGAAATTAAAAAAATTTTCATTAATACAGCCGAATCGAATACACGAGTCATGTTCACATTTCAGAATGATAAATATTAGGAATTATGAATATTCGGAATGTGAACATGACTCGATTCGATGTCGATCCTGAGAACAATTGACGATCGTCAAATTTCTTATTGGAGCACATGTACACTGCTAACCTTAAAAGTTTATTTAACACGTGCGTGCATAGTAATAATATCAACAAATCGGTACATTGAAAATATAATATACAAAGTTTCAACATAAATGTTTGAAGCAATGAGGACAGCTCATGAGAGCAATAAAGTCAAGCGTCTGTTTAGCAGGGTGACTCCGATACCTCGAATCGCTTGCGAATATTTCATGTTATCGGCCAAAGTATCGATGTCAATTCTTCTCGCTGTATTGAGACTACTCGTGCCACCTTCGAAAAAGAGCTTGCTCGGAGAAACTGTTTTGGTATTATCATAATTTTCATTATTTTAACGCGAATAATCCTAGATGATAGCTCCTGTCGTTAGAAAGGAAATTTTTTAACTGGATCAAAAACTGAGTTTCTTGTAACACGATTGACTACAATTATAAGTTCATAGATGATGCCATGCCTACCATATGATATGAATTTAAAAAAATTTTGTAGATCACCAAAGCAGGTCATGGCGTGGGACGCGAACTAGCTCTGCAATTGGCACCTCTGGGTTGCATTGTCATCTGCTGGGACACCGACGTCGACGCTAATCGCTCCACCATGAACTTAATATCGAAGAACGGTGGAGAGGTACGTATAGCTTTACTCCATTACATCTCTTACAAATCGGTCAATATTACAATAAATTTACATCAAAATAAACGTGATAATTGACGGTATATGTACTCGCAGGTGTACGGATTCGCTGTGGACGTATCGAAACGATCGGACATACTGGAAGCCATCCGCATGATGAGAAAAGCCGGCATCGGAGACGTGAGCATACTCATTAACACGGCCGAAGTCGGCGGCGGTGCGCGCCGAGCGCTGCTCGAGCACGACGACAAGGACATACGGAAGATTTTCGACGTCAACGTTATGTCGCAATTCTGGGTGATGATCTATGCGCTAAATTTTTCAACGCGACTTCTGCCTTCTCGTCCTGAACCGAAATCGAATTTATCTTCGTTTGTCGTTTCGCGCCGCAGACCATCCAATCGGTTTTACCATCGATGCTGCTCAACAAAAAAGGACACATTGTCTCGGTCAGTGGCGTGTGTGGGCTATACGGCTTGGCTGATCGAGTGCCTTTCTGCTCGTCCAAGTTTGCTGCCAGAGGTCGTTCTTGTTTTGTATATATATTTTTTTTTTTTCGTAAAAAAATGTGCATCAAGATTCATGTATAATGAGTCATAATTTCTAGATAGGTAACGATAATTTTAGGTTTGATCGAGGCCCTATCCGAGGAGTTAAGATTGACGGGACACCGGTCGATGATTCAATTTACGAACGTATATCCATTCTGCGTGAACGCTAAGCTTTCGGCACAGAATTCGTTCAGGTAATTTACGAGTTATGATTTGATTGCCCGCATGTTTTTGACTAAAATAATTGATTGATTTCGTTGAAAAATTAAGATTTCCATTCGTGTTCGGAATCGTATCACCGGAGTGCGCTGCAAAAGAAATTATCAGAGCAATACAGAGGAATTACGAAGAATGCACGATACCTCGATCTCTTATGTATTTCACTTCAATTGACAAGTTCGTAATTAAAAATGTGATTTATCACAAAATTCCAGTGGCAAACTTGTTATGGAAGCATAATTCAATTTTTTTCCTTTTAGAATATTACCCAAAAAAACAGTAACAATAATGAAAGATTTCATAACGAGAAACGAACGACAATAATTAGACTCAGTAAAGGAAGTTTGTTGTGGATCGACTTTAGAATATTCACCATCTTCATAAGGACGATGACTTATCAGAAATTGTTTTTATAATGTGCATCATGCATCGCATCATCGTGTTTCGTAAGAAGTATTTTTGTTTTCATTATGTTTTTAGCTATTATGCATCGTATGTTATATACAATCATTTCTATCTGATAAAACTATTGGATATTTATACTTATATGAATTTTTATAAATTTAGATTATTTTAATAAATTTATTAATAGTATTTTACCACCGAAGAAAGTTATTTCCCAACGATTACGTACGAATAAGGTTGAAAAAAGTTGAAATTATTACCAAAATCTTGATCAATGCATTTATTACATCAGATATAATATGAATATTGTAAATTAAAAACTTCATAGGCAATTAGAAACGGGGTTTTGTCATTGATGAATCAAGAGTTGCTTACTTGATGGTAACTTTAAACAAGATTTACATATTCAAATGCTATGAAATGCGTGTGATTGGATGCAATCATCCCGGAAAAGAACAATTTTGATAGATGATTTTTTTAGAAAGCCTATTACGGTGTACGCGCGACCGGTTATTTGCGTTGAGCAATGCGTATGCACCCAGCGTTGTAAATTATTTGCGGTCAGAATAAATTCGGCTGCACGCGCATATGCACGTACACACCGTAAATGAGATATGGCAATTGGATAATGCCAAACAAATTTTTCGACAGTTAATTATAATCAGGCCTAAATCGCGAGCGATGCATTTTTCAAAAATCTGTCCTAGTGACCGAACATTTATTTTCCTAGCGACTTATCAAGAAACCGGATCAATTAATAATTTTAGCTCGAAGTGAGTGAGTGCATAAAAATTCAAACTCAACGAGCATAACTCAGGTATTATTATTGAACTTCCCACTTCGAAAGAATAGTTGAAAATCTTCATAAATATTTCGCGTTACAAACTATGCAAATGAAGTTGACAAGCAATCAAACCTCATTTTATCGTTACCAACTCTTTTGGTCGTAATATTTGTACTTTGTAAAAAATCCTCACCAAATTAACGCAGTGTGAAAAAAAAAGACACTAAAAATACCTCGTCATATCTCGTTCTTTACTCACCGCCGAGATGCATTATGTACACGATTCAAACGTCCGACAAGCGCGAAGCATAAAGTCACGACGGCTGCACACCTATATACCTATATACACTTGCCGATGGGAGTGAGCACATGTCGCAGTCGAATCGCGGCACAGAGTCGAGTCCAATCGTTTGTCAGTGGGTCTGAGCGCGCGTGGTCGAGCATGGCTTGCCTCGACGTTTGATTATCATTTTTTGTTTACACTGTTTCATGATCAAGATGAGAGTGAAAATGCCATAATTGAAGGATTCGACTGGTGCAAAAATAAAACAGAGTTCATGTTTCGAAAAGTTGTGCCCCAGTGACAGAAGGATTTGTTTTTTTACTTTTAAAAGTGAAGGAGACTAGACTTCGCATTACGATTTGTCATGACACATGTAGATTACAAAATGATTGAGGTATGAGAATTTAGTGAGTAATTCGAATTTAAATGCTCGCAACAGCAACAAATGCTTGAAAATACAATTTTCAAAAAAATATTGAAACTACTTTTTCTCTTATTGCTAAGTTCAAGATAGGAAATTTTTTTTATATTTGCTCTTTTCACTTTACACAGTAAACATTACCACATTATTGACGTAAAAAATAGTTTTCAAGCTTCATTTTCTTGCTTTGTTGACCGCGAACAATGTAGTCTTTAAAATTTTTATCTATTCTCCCTTATTCTTGGATGTTAAATTTTATTTAAGTATGTAAAACTATAAATACGTTCTCTTCAATTATTATGCCACATTTTTCCAAAAACGTATTAGTTATTTTCAATTCTCTACTGTGACTCTTCAGAAAAATATTTGGTAGAAACCACGAGAAATTTGTTTGAAGTGCAGTTATGGCATCCACTGCAATTAAATGTTAAGTTAATTACAATGTTCTATACCAATGTAACAAGTGAGCGTTAATAAGCGGGAAAGTGGAGTATACAATCGTTAATCAATGAACCGCTTGTATTGATACAATTTCAATTTGAGTCAAAGTGAATATCAATAAAACTTTAGGAATTTATGCACATTCAAAATTCTTTTTATTGAGATATTGAAACTTTTCCATCTTTAAATATTCATCGAGTATACTTGCTACATTTTTTGGGAAAATAAAAGGTGTCGGAGAAAAAATATTATAGCTTTATTTCAATTTGAAATGAGTTACCTCAATAATTTATTTTAATAAAAATGTATAATAACCAGTGTTCGTTGAACTAAATCATTCACATTTGTTATTTGATAAGCATTGAAATAATATAATTAAAAACAAATTATTAAAAATGGCTAATGAGCTCTATTTTATACGGAAGATCTAAAAATTTTACGATACAAACATATTGCATCGAAAAAAATTTCACGGACACCCCGAATTGGCCGTCAGTCGCACTACTCTATCATTAAACATTACGTGCTCTTACACGCGAAGCTTACGTCACATGGCAAAAACATAAAGAATCACTACAGCGGTTATCAATAATAAGCCCCGGAAAACGTACCTGGACAGCGCATGCATTGCGAAAGTTAATACACATTGTCGAATGAAAGTGCTATTTCATGTATGCTTGCCCGCGTTTGGCCTATCACCAGTATTTAAAAAGTTTAGTTTGAATAGATTATTTGATAATGAAAGTAAACGAAAGCGTTGGAAATGTTATGACCAGCAATAATTTCGACAACTCGTACCAACTTTATTGGATTGGTCACCTACAAGGATTTAGGCTTAGCTTTGTTTTATTGATAAGATAATAAAAGAATCGTGAATAACAATAAAATTTATTCTAAAATGTTCATCAAAGCACCGTCACGATTCCAGTATTTTCTAAAACCCGACCAATGCATTAAAATCACTAAATAACATTTCTTTATGAGTAATAACAATGCCTTGGGTAGCTTCGTATAACAGGTTTATATTGCCTTTTACTTTATCTATACTTTAAAAAACTAAACAATACTTTCCATACTTTAATGCACCAAAAGTGGAGATAATTTATAAACATACCTGTAGTTTTTAATGATTCCTTTAAAAATTGTTATTATTTATGAATCAATAATTATTTTAAAATTTTCTACTTTTTCAATTGATATCTAGGAGCTCTAAAAAACTAGAATATCAACTTTCGACTGCATAAAATGATTCTATTCCTAAATTCAGATAATATCGTTCAGTTATGCAAACCCCAATTGAGTTAACGGATTATGAGGCAATACATTATATAACAAAAAATACAAGTATTGAAGTGTACCAAATAGAATTAATTTTTCACCAGTAAATCACATCATTTATGTTTTTATTGATTTGGATTATCATAATAGAAATTTGATCTAATTATTCTTTTTTCATAAATATTAAACTATTTTGTATTAATTATTTGGTAGTAGACAAAAGAATTTATTCGATTATATTTTTTAAATTCTTGATTGACTCTCATTAAAAATTATGACCATGCTGATTAACAGTAGTGATATAACAAGCATATGACTTGTTTAAAATAATCGGAAAAGTATTTATTGTCGATGAATTGATCGCCCTGTATAATTTTCTTGACACCCAAAAAAAGGAATAAAAGCAATTATTTTCTTCGTTTCACTAACGGGTGCAAAAATAAAAATGCAACGATTTGATTTGAAAGTATATTTACAATTGATAAATGCACGTATGACTACTTATAAAACATTAGATTTTCACGATAGTTAAATTCTATTGATTTAGATTAATTTATCAAATTTAAAAAAAACTAAATTTGAAACCCTTTTGTTCATTCTCTCATGACTATTAACAGCACTAATTTTTGTCAACCTCAAAAGTAAAAATCCGATAAAAATAAAATCTTCAATCTTTGAAAAATCATCGTATTGCACATCTTTGAACTGTTCCGAGAAAAAAGATGTATATTTTGCGATAAAAATCAATGTTTTAACTGTATGGTTGATTGAAATAATATTTCGATGCGTTAGTAGATTATGAGTTGGGTTCATTAGTTTATTGAATAATTAAATTTTTTCAACAGATTTTTAATTTTTTGTTTCGTCTGTAAAAGATGACAATGAATACCAGATGAATTGAATTAATTTTTACATTTTAAAGAACAAAATATATAATAATGACATATTTCGCATTGGATTCCATTACATGCATTTGCTAAACAGTGAAAGCAAAATATATATTGATTGAAAAAATGTGACATAATGAGGCAAGATTTTTCCACTAGCACTAAATCTCCTGGTTTAAAATCAGTTTTGGCATATTGTCCTCTGCCCATATTTTCTGTTTGTTTTATTTCAACAAAATCAAATGGATCAACTTTTTCTCTATCTGCAATAATTTTATCACACTGTTTTTTTTGCTCAGAATTAATATCAAAATATGCAAGTGATTTTCAAATCGATCCAATAAAATTGTTCTCTTACAGAAATCCATGCTGACTATGAGAGAAGAATCAATATTGTCAAGTGAAATAATCAAAAGCTCATCTTCGGTAACTTGGTTTTTCCTAAGCTTCGAGTTTCTTCTTGGCCTCGGGATATCCGCATGTCTACTACTATTAAGTTTCGTCAAAACGTTATTACCTAAGCCACCGAGGGATCTAACCGGTGACGTAGTATTGGTACATTGCTTTTTAACGGCGAATCATCTTCATTCATGATTCCAAGCTCATAATCTAATATGAAATACATTATACTCTATACAATACAATACATAACACATTTACTGGAATAGGGTAGCTATACAGGACCTGGCACAGGCTAGCTAGCGCGGACATGGTACAGTGGTACAGTGCAGACCTGTCACAGTCGAACTTACCATAGTCGATCCACCCTCCCCCTCACACCCTCCGCACAGAGTTAAAAAAAAATGGAAAAGCTGACATCGTGTGGAGGTCTGATGATTGAGCACAGGGGTTTGATATGGAACCTCGCAGAGGCTCCGAAGGGTTGACGAGCCCCGCAGGGGCTCCTGAGAGAGAGCTTTGCAGAAGCTCGCAGAGCTCAACCCTCCCTCGTATCTCAAATAGCCAGATATTGAACTCAAACTTTTCAATTTGTTTTTTCAACCCAGCTTCGTGAAGGGTATGAAGAGAAGGGTTACGCTGAAGGGGAGGGTGGTGAATCGACTATGGTAAGTTTGACTGTGATAGGTCCGCACTATACCATGCCTGTGGTATGACAGCTACGCAGTGTATCACCCTGGTAGAAATGCAACATTTTTTGACCGATAGTGTAACGCTTTTTCTTATAAAAAATGGCCATTTAATAGCCATTCATAGCAAACTAAATGGCCATTTTTCATGAGACAAGGCGTTACACTGTCGGTCAAAAAATATTGCATTTCTACCAGAGCAGGTCCGCACTGTATCAAGACCTATATAGCTACCCTACTCACTCAATAACAAATAAAAGGAACACGATAATATGTACAAATTCTGATGTGTGCTCAATCAAGGTGGCCGGGGCAACGTCGAAGATCGGCAACTCCCTCGCCGAGGAGTTTGCCCGAAATGGCTGCCTGGTCATTTGCGTCGACGAAAATGCTCAGGAAGTCGAGAAAACGGCCTCGCGACTATGCCAACGATATCCCAGAGTCGAGTCCACGGGTGCGTCGTGTCGCAAACAGACCGCCGACGATCAAGAGCAGCAGCACCACGAAGATGAAAGATCGACGTCGATGAGATGTCGCAGCCTTGCGTACGCCTGCAATCTGTGCGATCGTCAACAGATCCAGGAATTGGCTAAGAGAGTCAGAGATGAGGTCGGATACCTGGACACTTTGGTCACGTGCGCGGAGAGATCCGAGCGAGAAATTTTCGATGCAGTTAGCAATACTTTAATGAGCCACTATTGGGTTGGTATATTGCAGCTGTTTCCATAAAATGAATAAATTATATTTTTACACGAACGAATTTATAATTTATTATTGTGGTCAATTTTGACCTAAAATATTTAAAAAATTTTCCGTAAAGTCGAAAACACGTTTTATTCTATTTCTTTCTATTTTTTTTATTCTACATCGTTCCTATTCTTAGCCGCTAACTCGATAAATAACTTAAGGGTCTTATCTTAATAGCCCATGAATATTTTTCGAAGGAGATAGTGGAACAAGCGGAACAATAAACTAACGTCTTAATGAATCAATATTAATGACTATTGTGTTGTTTTTTCTTCAACAGACAGTTTTAGCGTTTTTACCATCTATGCTGCTGCAAGAGAAAGCAAGAGTCATTGGAATCACTCCCACAGCTTCTATCAATGACGCATACGAAGGATCAAAAGCAGCTCTTGCAGGTTCGAGTTTTGTTGTTTTAATTTTATACAGATCATTTTAATTCCTTTTGAAGTTATAATTTGACGTTAACATTTTTAGGTTTAATGGGATGTTTGGGCGAACAATTCACTGGACGAAACAATGGACTGACTTTTATGACTGTTGCACCTAAAGCTGAACCAAGGTAAGATCCATTATTGTATGTGTCAATTCAGAGATATCATTAATGTTTTCTTGCAGCTTACTCAAACAAAGCGAGAGTGATATTGCCAAAGAAATAGTACAAGCAGTACAAAGAGATTCATCTTCCATCTCTATGGGTAAACTGTCAAACTTGTTGTACGTCGTGAGGTAATTCAATCTTGGTTTTAGCTGAAAAAAAGCTTTTCGTTGCATATAATACAATTGATTCTTTCAATAGTTGCAGACTGTACGGTGGCATCACGTTAATAACGAAGTGGCTTGAAGCGTGATTTTCTTCTTCTTCAATTTCATAAAACATCGAAAGCTCAGTACGCTGTTTTACAAATAACGTATTGCACGTATTAATCATCACATCATTTAAAATCAAACCGGTGCAATCTATTATGGATTTAAACTACAAATGTTGTTTTTATCACAATTTGTTTTATAATATTTTTTGTACTAAACTATCGAGTATATACAATGTAAAAATGTCTCTGACAAAAATTTTCTTAGAAAAATATAAAAAAAGTTACCAATATTTTTTATAAAAAGCTCACTATCTTATTCTCTGAAAAAATGGAGTTTTCCTAAAATTTCGGTATACATTTTCTCTATATGGGCAAAAGGACGTCGTAGTGTCCATAATCGTTGCGACCGCTGAAGAGCAAGTTGCCAGTTTTGACCCGCGAGCTAAAGTGACTGTAAAGGATTCGCTGAAGCTGCGCGTTGGGCCCTATTCTCCGGTAAATGGCCAGATTCAGCTGATTGAGTTTGGCCGCGACTATGCACTCCAGCTCGCTGGCGAAGGTGCCCTCGTTGCCCATGAACTCGACGTAGCGATCCGCCCTGGTAATGTTCCATTCCGCGAGAACGAACGACTTTACTTCGGGCCACGCCGATCTTATGTGATTTACGACCTTTGGTAGAGGTATATGTAAGACGTATTAAGTGTCATGGAAGTAGATATACAAGTGGAGAGAAAAATAGAAAATAAGTTTCGTTCTACCAACCATCGATCGCAGGTGTTTGTGACGGTTTTCATTGCCCCATAAAATAAAGCTAACAGCTCGAAACATGCAATTTCCATCGCCGTAAATTTCATGCACACGGAATTCTCGATCTGCAGTTTTGAAAAGCCGACCTGTACCTTTATGTGAGCGACAAACGTTTTAGTTTTCATCGAGAGTCAAGTGGCATTGGCAAGAAACTGGACAAGTAATCGCTTTGTACTCACTTTCATCCGGCACGAGCTTTTGGCGCGACGAAGTTTTACCCGCCCGTTTACAGGTCCCGCACGTTTTACGACACTGTGACTGAGCACCCAAAGACGCTTGCGGTGTAAGCCTTCTTGGGCGCTCCTCGCGGACTACCGACGTGCTCGAGCAGTTACAGCTACCGCCTGCATTCTGGCAACCTTTTTGCTCGCCCGGTAAACTTAGCTGCCTCACTTTCTTACGTTGACTTCCTGAATCTGTGCATCGACGCGATCGCCACGCATTGTTGAGCGATATTAGTCAATTTTATACGTATGTGAAATTGAACGATTGAAAGGAACCAACTGTTAAAATCCAAAGTAGCGTTGTAAAAATCGTAGCACCAAAAACATGGCCAGAGCAACGATCTCAGTAAAATTATTTACGCCTCAACACATGAATGCAGTTGTAGCCAAATGATTGATGATGATGAATAGTGCGTTTGCAGACAATCAATAAAATAATCAAAAAACTATCTTTTAATATAAACTCACTACTTGTTAAAAATAGAGACAAACATTTTGTAAGTTCAATTGAAATTTGTTAACCTTACTTCTTTAGACTTAACAAATGAATCACAATGGTCGAGTTATGTGCGTACGAAGACTGATGCATTAGGTGTTGAAATCGATTGGTTTTATGTTTCAAAAAGGTGTAAAAATATATTTATTTCGATACAAAAGTATTTCCATTGAGTAAGACTAAAATAAATTTGAATTATCGATATGTTATTTGCAATTTAGCCTACTTCATGAAATGTTTAACTCTTAAATTGCTGGCATCAGGATTTCTAACAGATCACTATTTCCATAGAAAATTAATTTAAGGCCCCTTGAATTATAAACGAACCCAATTTTCGCAAGCCAGCTCCCTCCCAGGACCAATAAAAAAATATAAATACCTAGTATACTAATAATTCATACGATTTACATAAGATTGGCGCACGGGGATGATAATAACAGAGGGTTGAAATAAAGAAAAGATTTGTTTAAAATTAATTTGCTTTTCACCAGAATATCGCAATTTAAAAAAATGTAAACAAAAGAGCAGAACATACTTACAAAGTATACTTCCGTATGAAAGTTAAAATTTATTTTTTACAAATTTAAAATAAATATTTTACTTGTAAAACCAATTTTATTTATGAAATAAAGTCGATGAAATCTGTGTGTTATCAGATTTATGAGTAGAACAGTTTATGAGTTGTTTAAATGAAAAATAACTAGTTAAGTCTTGTGGCAAAGAAATCTTCAAAGAAAATTCAAAATTCTTTGTAAAATACTTTTTTTGTACGCGTAACATTAGAATATCGTATTTCATATGTTTAGATATAATTGCATGTATCCATTAGGATTAAAATTTTTACGAAAGCGCTGTTACATATTTTTGCACATTAAATGTTAGGAGAATGACGAAGCTAATATTAGAAATAAAAGATTCCAAAAATCGTCTTTAAGCATGTTATTTAAAGGAAATGATAGTGATTAACAAATGAAAAAATTGAATCTTTTTAAAATCACGTGACTTGTGCCTGTAACAAGTGTGTGGAGTAAAAAATTGCTATCGACACTCTGGTGTGACCTCGCTTTCTGAAGCCAATTGATTTCATTTATCAATATTTTATCTGTAATTTAAAAAAAGATTTCCCAGAAAAAAGTCTGAGAATGAGTTGTAAGTAAATATTAACATACGACTCCAAGGAAATTATCATAAAATCGTTTGGATTTGATCCAGGTAATTTATTCTAATATAAATAAATAAATCAGTATAGTTTGGTTTCTTGACCCTTACATGCATTTTCTTGAGAAAACTTTATTAAAAATTTGACAAAAGTGATTTTCATACATTTTAGGCTTGCCTACATCAAGGGTTTAATTCAATCAAAAAATGTCTTAACTTTGCGTGTATTGTATTCAACTTATTTAGGTATAGGTATTTCTTTTACAGGATTTTTCTTTGGGGATGCGATGTCAAGGGAGTTCTGAGAAACTTATTAAAAAAAAAAGGAACAACACAATTTCTTCACTAAAGTTGCACCAGTTTACAATTCGGTCGATCGCTGTGAATTTCCAAGAAACTCGTGTGAGCATAAAAATCGGTTATACTGATCCGGACCACAAGTGCATAAAAATCCATCGGTAGGTTGACGCATGCATGAATTAGCAAAACACTGTGTAAGATCGAGATAAATTAGTTATGACATTATATAAAATCAGCGACAAACGGCGATATCGGTTCAGTAACCGCGCGCGGCGGCGGGCATCACTCCTCGCACGCATGCTAAAGTCGAGTTTTAGATTTTCTCTCTCTCGCTCGCTCGTGTTCCCCAGTTTCCCGGTGCGTACGTACATGCGTGCGAGTGTGCGTGTGTTGTAAAAGTGCTCCTGCCGTGTGCATGTGTGGGTATCACATACGCACGTGTATCCAGCATTAAAGTTATTCAGGAAAGTAGACGTCTTATTTACAATATCTACACGCGCACACGTACACTACCGAGCAACGACTCTACTTTACCTGAGTTACCGGAGAGGTAACTTTCACCCCGCGCTGGCTTTTGCGCGCAAATCTCTCGCTCGACTAATAGTCCGGCGACGTTTACGTGCGAGCACAGAGAGAGCCAAGTGTCAACGACTGTACCTCGCAGCAGCATCGACTTTTATATTCGTCATATTGACAAGTGATTTTCCTCGACTATCTTTCGTATAACGTAGATATGATCCCTACGGAACAATCATCCAACAGTGAGTAAAATTACGAGTTCATTTTTTTTCGTATTAAAAAAGTGTTGAGACTCTTTGTGCTTAGTTTTTTATTTTCATACCGATTGATGCTTACTTAAAAGTCACATCTAATTGAAGAAGCTGAATTAAGCTTCGTGTAGCGTGGACACTGTCTGCTGTGTTGCTACTGTATACAAACATATTGCCCGCCGAGTCGATTATTTATGTATCGCATTATTTATGAAGATAATGTCAAGTATAGGAAGCACGCTGATTTCTTTTAAATTTTTCTACGATCAAAGAATGTCCCATTTTCATTATCACGCCGATTGCTGATTAATTGACAGTTAAAGATGCGAAGTAAAAGGATATCTCATTCATGTAAATGTTTTGTCGTAGAAAACCTTTTTAGACTTTCACAGACTCACAAAATTTAAACCTTTTTCATGTCTAAGAAATTGTTTTTAAATTTATTAAATCTAGAATATTATTTTTAAATAATCAACTCGACAGTTCTGAAGCATGAAAGTAAAATACTGCTGCAGTAAATTTTAATTTTTATCTTGATTATAATACTTCATGACCGTTAATTGATGAATTTTCACCCAAGTAAGCCAAACGATTTTTGCAAGTCAACATATACATCTCAGAGACTATAAAATAAATCACCCACGCAAGTAGAGTATCGAGAGTTCAAACGCCTTCCAGTTGCAACTACGCAGCACGCCACAACACATTAAGATCGAACACTATAAATATAATTTCATGTTTATTTACACGCTATCTGTATCAGTCAACAATATAAATGGATACTTATAATGATATTGTGCGTTCGTAGACAAAATGAGAAGAGGACTAAAAATTGCCATAATCGGCCAGAGCAACTTCGCGGCCGACGTTTACAAATTACTGAAAGCCGACGGGCACGAGATCAGCGGCGTCTTCACCATACCCGACAAAAATAACCGCGAGGATGCGCTAGGTAAGTTAAAAAAAAAATGAAGGGGGTGGAAAAAAGCAGCGAAGGCAGTCGGTGAAGTTATTGGCGCCTGTTGCAGCTCTCGCCGCGAAAGCCGACGGCACGCCCTGCTTCAAAATCAAAGCCTGGCGCAGCAAGGGCGTCATGCTGCCCGAGGTGTTCGACCTCTACCGCAGCATCGAGGTCGATCTCAATGTGCTGCCCTTTTGCACTCAGTTCATACCGATGGATGTGATAAATTATCCCGTGCATAAGAGCATATGCTATCATCCGTCAATACTGCCGAGACATCGCGGTGCTAGCGCTATCAGCTGGTGAGATTTTTTTTTTATTTAAAAATCCATATAATAACACGCTAAATGAGCCGTAAATCGTGCGAATAATGTTACGGCGATAATTTACGATAGCGGCATGGTTTTCTTCCTTTTTTTCTTTTTAATACTTTTTATTAAATTACGTAAAGCTCTCGCGTGTACAATGCGTGATTTTTTTCGTCAAACGTGGTATGATCGTGAGTAGGCGCGAACAACGCCTTATCGAACGTGAAATTGAAAAATGAATTACGCACGAGTCGTGTATGCAGCGAGAATCTCTCTCGCTCGCGCGGGAAAAGCATCGCAATGACGGGAATGTCGAGAGTACGTTTCCAGTGTGCGGCTGAAAAATTTCATCTTAGAAATGACGATAAGAATCGCGCGTTTTACGTTTGTTTTTCACGAAAAAAAAAAGAAAAAAGAAACTATAAAGATCCTCGTGATTACGAATGCTCGACAGGACTCTGATCGAGGGCGACGAGACGGCCGGCTTCACGATCTTCTGGGCCGACGACGGCCTCGACACCGGCCCGATCCTCCTGCAACGCAAGTGCAGCGTCCAGCCGAACGACACACTGGACTCGCTCTACAACAGGTTCATGTATCCCGAGGGCGTGAGAGCCATGGCCGAGGCCGTGAATCTCGTGGCCGAGGACAATGCCCCGATGATCGAGCAGCCCGAGGAAGGCGCCACGTACGACGCCATGCTCAACAAGAAGGAGCTGCAGCGGCTCGTGTGGTCCGGAAAGACGGCCAAGCAGGCGCACGACTTTGTGCGAGCGCTCGACTCTACGCCCGGCGCCTGGACTTTGATCGACGGACAGGAGGCGAGGCTCTACAAAAGCACACTCTGGACCGGTATTGAACAATTTTTTTAACTACAAATTGTATCTAGCTCGTTTCTTTTTTCAACTTGACACTGAATTAACGAACGAAATTGTTTCGACAAAATAGGAAAGATTCCAAGCGAAGTCAGCCAAGTCAACGTCGACGGTCGGGAGGGCTTGGTTCACGATTCCGGATTAATGATCCAGGCCGAGGATGGCAACTGGCTAAACATCGAAGTGATAAAACTCGGAACGAGGACCATCAGCGCTTCCAAGTTCGGTCGAGCAGAGACGAACGGCGTCCACGTGGAGTTTAGCCCGGAGGAAAAGACATCGGTCGAAAAAATACGCGCCATCTGGGAAAGCATCTTGAAAGTGGGCGTCGATGACAATCTTGACTTTTTCATGGCAGGTACGATATTCTACCTCATTTTTCTTACGATTTACTATCTATTCACTATGTATATTAAACCCGAGCTTTATAGTCGGCATATGCTTCTAGAATTGTAATCAATGCATTTGATCGAGATCTCTCGTTTTACAATTACCTGTGGCACACTTATTCAATGATAGTTTTCGAATTTATCGACAGAGTTACAAATATTTTCCATAAATCACCTTGACGTTTTCGATTTTGTAAATCACTTTTATTATCATGGTGTCGCGTGGCATCGACTGTTTGTGTGTACTGCTCGCTTTACAATGCTCAGATATTATGTGTTTTACTTGCGAATTAACCGTCACACGATGACTGCTTGCGTGCGGAATAATTGTACTAACTATTATCACGTATAATACATCCATACGAATAAAACGTTAACTCTGCGTCCAGTCACTTAATTACCCGGGTCACACCCCTACCCACCCAACACCGGCTCTAAATGAAAAACTATTTTACAGATTTCATATTGATAGCATTTCTTAAACGAAATTTTTCATAATTTTACCATAGACTTTAGGTCTCGTCAATTATGAAACTGAATAATAAAATAAATTACGGGAATTTTTAATATCTTTTTTAATTTTAATTTGAAACAGTAACAGTAAAAATAACAACAAAAGACAGTCTTTGGAAAACATCTGTTTAGTATGTGAATGAAGCATAAATCAGCAGGCAACATTAATTATTTAAATTATCATGATGTATCCGGTCCCGAATTTTGATTCTTGGTAAACACGAAAACACATGCAACGCTGCATTTAATTACTGAATCATTCTTCATATTATGGTTCTATCGAATCAGAAATCGATCTTACGACGATCCACTGGAAAAATATGCTTAGAATAGAATTACGTTTGGAAAAGAATAAATGGATCAAAGCTCTGACGAGAAAGAGTAGCTTACATTTAATATTTATAATCAGACTTTTTAATCGTGGATAAACAGTCAAATCATAAATCGAGTCATTAAATCAATGCTGTACAAAACTTAAACGTATGAGAGTAAAAAAGTGTATGACTACAAGAAAAGTTGGAAAACCGAAGAAGACAGGCAAAAAAAGTACAAAAGATAGAAAAGTCCATTGATGCGCGTCGATACATCAACTAGGATCGTCGGGCTCTTTTTTTCTCCTGTGTCCGATCTTGCCCCTGCCGTCCTGGCTGACCTGGCCGTTCTTGTCGAGCTTCTTGCTGACGGTGACGACCCACTGGTCGTTGATGCCCAGCGTATTGAGGAACATGGTCTTGCAGACCCTCAGGTGCTTGCTGTCCTTCTCGAGGAAGTAGTAGCGGGACTTTTCGCGCTTGCTCGAGCCCGACTGGGTGACGCACTGCATCTTGGGCAGCACGACGATGTGATTGGCTATGTAGTCCCACTGGGCCTTGTGGTCGGCCAGCGCCCAGAACTGGCCGAAGAGCTGCTCGCGCAGCGCCCGGTCGAAGCACTTGTAGCAGCGTATGCGGCAGTTGCTCTTGCAGGGCGCGCGCAGCTCGCGCTTCGGCATGGGCTTGCCCCGCAGGGTCGTGTAGGCCTCGCCCCGGTCCTTGGCCATCTTGGCCGCGACGAGGCGCGCCCGATTCGACGTCTCGGTCCTCGGCCTCGCTCGTCTTCGCTTTTCCGCCTTCTTCTTCGGCCAGCCGCTGCTCTTCGGTGCGTCCTTCGGCGTGATCATCTTCTCGATCGAGCCGTCCCAGTCGTCGGTTGGCTCCGCGAGACCTCCCGTCGCGAGACCCGACGTGAGCGCCGGCAGCTCGTCCGAGTACGTCAGGGCTATGCCACCGAGGTCCAAGCTGTCGTTGCTCGAGCCCGCCAAGTCCGGATCGTTGAGCATCATGAGGATCGAATCGAATCGTTCGTCCTCGAGATTGAGATCCATGGGTTGCTCGATGGTCAGCGGCTGTTCAAGGCTCGAAAAGCTCTCCTGTCCGACGATGGCTCGATGCTCGTCGTTCTCCGAGTAAGGTTGCGACGAGATGTGCTGCAAGCTCATGGCATCCAGATAGGCCTCGGGTTGTATGGTGATGGGCTCGAGGCCCTCGGCGTGTATGGTCACGGGCTCGAAGCGCTGCTGCTGCTGCTGGGGCTCCAGCTCCAGTGGGCCAAGAGAAGGAGGAGGAGCTTGCGACAGGACTTCCAGATTCGACATTTCCACTCGGTTTGTCGGGGGCTGCGAGTTCAGCGCTGGTGCGACGACGTTCGCGCAAGACTCGTCGGCGAAGATGCCCAGGGGCACTTGACTGATCGGCTGATAGATTTCGGGCTGAACGGGGAAGACCAGTGGCTTGACCGCCGAGACGCTCTGGACTCCTGCAATTGACGAAACGCTTACATGTGAATGTCGATCGGAATTTTCGATCTGGCGCGGGCAATTCTATGCCGATGTGATTGTACACGTTACCAGTGTGGTATATGGTGCCGACGACGGGAAGTTGGTCGATCCCACGAGCGCATTCCAGTGGCGGGGTCGCTTCGAAGACCAAATATAATGTTCATTATTGCGTTTGTTTACAATTATTTTAGCTGCGTTAATATAATTTCATTATCACGTATAGGCCACAATACATGTACCTACGAGCTCGAGTATCGAATGCGTGAGCCACCGCCGCATAATCTTGACCGATAGGAGGAGTCGAGAGCGCGTACTACATACGCCTCGTAATTGTAATTTATTATTTATCGAGCGCAGCAGTGATAGGAGTTGAATACATTTGAGGAGAAAATAAAGACGAGACGCGCATCGGACGTGTGTCGTAATTTTTGACGTTGCAACTGCGAGAGGCAAAGATTCATTATCGCGAGAGGCGCGTGCTAAAAAAAAGGGAAAACAAGGTAAAGAATTGCTAAATAAACGCGTCGCGAATATATGCCTCGCTCCGTGTTTATTGAGAGAAACTCCATGTCGCGAGTCATTATTTCTCGTCTCCGCGTTGTTTGCGTGCGTATAAGTGAGGCACGGGGCACGCATGCATACAACGATAAAGCACAAGCGCGTAATCCTCGCTCAAATAATGCCGAGCGTTTACGCGAGCAAAGGAAAAGAGGAAAAAAAGAGAGGAAAAAATCGCTCCTCGTTCATGGGAGTGCGTACGTATTATGTACGTTGGAGAGTCGGTTGTCGCAAATTGGTCTCGTCGGCTCTCGTCGGTGCGCGCGCGAATTACGCAATTGCAGCGGCTCGCGATACACACGAAACCGAACGCGATCGGATCGAGGCAAAAAATCACGCATATACTCGGTATATAGAGTCCGCGCGACGAGATTCTCGCGAAAGATCGGGGAAGCTGTGCGCGCGAATCACGTATAGGTACACATATCGAGAGCCAGTATACAAAAATAGCAAGTCATATGGGTATGCCAGTCTTAATGCGATACACAAAGTCGAAACTCACCGTAATCGTATCGGACCTCGAAAGTCAGGGCCAGGACGTTGACCGGAGCCATGGCGAGGTAGTTTCGGAGTTGCCGATCGTCGTTGCCTATCTTACTCTCGTCGTATGCAGGAAGCTCCTACACTGCACAAACGGCGTTCAACGGCGTCGTCGCGAGCGCAGAGCCCCAAGCACGTGTGCAGCTGCCGCCGGCGACGCTGCACTTTCTCTGTTTACAAGCCCAATCGTAGCGGTAGCAGCAGCAGCAGCAACCCGTGGGTGCACAACATGGTATTTAAAGAGACGGTACTATATAGGAGAAAGCACGGCAGAAGCGCTTCCAGTCTCGAGCTTGTGTTTTTCACAATACTACTGCGTGCGTGTTTAGGCGACGACGTTGACAATGTCGGCTGCTAAACTGCCTCATGTAGCGCGCCTACTGCTACTACTCCGGCTGGCTCTGTGGCACTCTATAACGCGACGAGAGAGAAACGCCGAGTCTACGAGTGCGCGGCGGCGTCGGCGTCCACAGAACAAAAAGTAAAAACCCGAGCACGAGCGCACGAGTAGACGAGAAGCCGACCAAGAATACGACGATGAAGAAGAAGAAGAAGTAGTCGTAGTAGGAGAAGGCGGAGAAGATAGCGCGAGAGAAGGAGATGACTACTGTCGTTGACACTCGTTGACTACTTGCGCTTCTTACAATATCTATGTACAACTTGTGCGTATACACTCGCGCCTATCTAGTCGATGGTAGATGTATCGATTTGGACTCTCGCTTTGGTCGGCGCAGCTTTCGAGGCGCCCGCAGCTATGCCCAGATCCGTTAAACGGAAAAGTCGAAAGCTCGCGGCCAAGATCGAGCGTTGCTCCTCTATATAACAACAGTCTCGGGACGAGCGAGATCGTACATAGACTGCGAGAGCCGCCGAGCTTACGAGTCCGCGTGCTCATATAGTGTAGCGCTGGACGGCGCGTCGCGATTACATAATCCTCGAGATACGTCGTCGCGTCGGCGTTTCTGCGTGCACGAGGGCCAAAAAACAAGCCGGCTCGATCATCGTGCGGCGGCCGGCCTCCGACCGCATAGACGTATACGTTATGATTTTAGCGCGTAAGCGCCGCGTCGTTATCGCGTAGTACGTGCCTCGCGTTCCAGCTCTGTACGCGTTATACCCTCGAGTACGCGATGATACACACACGTTAACGCGAGACTGCGTGAGCTAGAGCCGAGCCGCCGAGATCCGATTGTGTGACCACTGCCGAGATTCGCACTTCTCTCGACTGATATCGGGCGCGCGCGGAGAAATTTCAACTACGGGCTCTCTCGCTCAGCGGCAGCTGCTGCCTCGTGCCAATTTTTCAGTCTGTAACGATAACGATTCGCATGTATACATGCTTGCATGCAATTTCGTAACGCGCCGGACTTTTTTTCGTCGAGAAAAGCACGTATATGCTTAAAGCGCTTGGTCTATACAGCCGAGCAATTGTTGTTTTTCGAATTCCTACATATTGGCCGCCGAATGGCAGCTGCCGTCTATATCGCGCCTATATATATACCGCGACAAATCATTGATATTTATCGCGCGCGCGGCTCTTTCACTCTTTTTATCGACGGCCCCTATATAAAGCCAATCGATCGAATTTATTGTTCCATGTGCTCGCGACGTCGTTCGAAGCGCTGCACTTTCAAAAGCGATCCCTCGACTATTTCTTCCTATTGCGGCATTCGACCGCAACGACGTAATTCTCCACTTTGAGCAAATATCGTCCGAGCTATGTATTTTCCGCTTAACGATCTTCTACTTTTTTTGTACCCACAGCGAGCTTTCGACGAGCCGTTCGGCAAATATCTATCGCTCGCTCAATGACCTTATCTCTACATCTAATTACATAATTACTCATATTAAATCTTGCTCTAAATACGAGACAAAAAAATCGATTGGAAATAATATCGAACATCGAGGAAAAAAGCGTCGATACGTCGAGTCTGACTGCTTGTCTGCCGCCGACAGCAACGTAGACACGTCTATAATATCATGTAAATGCGATGGGTAATGCACGTAAACTTTTCTGCCGATGACAATGAACTCGTTCGCTCGTCTCGTATTCTCTAACGGAATAAAATATTCTAATTAGCCTTTTTTCGACTTAATTTAATGGCTTCGGCTAACGTATTCCCCCGTGTCTCGACGCCTCTTATTTTTTTTAAATCAGTCGACTCATTCTGATAAATCAGATTCGCTCGTACGCTTCGACAATATCTAAGCTTTTTACGGACACACAAAACAACCGCACAATTTCTCTTCCTCATAGAAATTTAAATACTGAAATGTACGATAAGAGTTGAAGATGAACAGTCTGCTGCGCCAATTTCATTTAATTATCTGTTCACTATGAGTTGATTATGAACCTTTTTTTTTATTTAAATACATTTTGTGGATATATTACTACTTTTCGCATACAAAAACAAGAATACTTGTTTCTCGGTTTTCAACGAGCATGAATGAAGCAGGAATATTTAAATGGCTCGTTGCTCATGATATTTTCATACGCAGGTTTCAGTTTATTTTATTACAATCTTGATAAAATATTACAAAAAAATCAATATGCCCCAAATAAGCAGAGGGTAGAAAAAAATGAATTAAAAGTAAATTGAAATTGAAGGCGCTGGCAGTATGGACGTAGTCCGGATGATCGAGGAACTGAAAGAGAGCCTCAACGTCGAGCTGCAAAACACGGACGTGTTTATGGCCCCGGTATTCGAAGAGTTCGTCGTCAAGGCCGTACTCGCGATGCGCGGCGCCTCCCAGAGCCAGCAGATCAGCTACGAGGCCGTGGAGATGAAGGCCAACAATCTCGAGCTCAAGTTCCCCAAGCAGCTGTTCGTCGATGGCAAATTCGTCAACGGACGCGCCAAGCCGATCCCGAGCGTGAATCCGCACGACGAGAGCGTCATCTGCCAGGTGGAGTCGGCCTCGGTCGAGGACGTCGACGACGCCGTCCAGGCGGCCAAGAGGGCCTTCGAGACCGGCGAGTGGAGCAAAATCAGCGCCCGGGAACGAGGACGTTTGATGTTCAAGTGAGTATATCCGTTCCATAGTATCTGCTCGCTTCGGAGATGAGTCACCGCGACGAATGCTTCAGGCTGGCCGACCTGATGGAGGAGCACAAGGAGGAGCTGGCCACCCTGGAGAGTCTCGACTCCGGCGCCGTGTACACACTAGCGCTCAAGACCCACGTGGGCATGTCGATCGAGACTTGGCGCTACTTCGCCGGCTGGTGCGACAAGATCCAGGGCGCCGTGGTGCCCATCAGCCACGCCCGACCCAACCGCAATCTCACCATCACCCGCAAGGAGCCGATCGGCGTGTGCGGCCTCGTCACGCCCTGGAACTATCCTCTCATGATGCTGTCCTGGAAAATGGCCGCCTGCCTCGCGGCCGGCAACACCGTGGTCATGAAGCCCGCGCAAACCTCGCCACTGACGGCCCTCAAATTCGCCGAGCTCGCCGCCAGAGCCGGTATTCCTCCGGGTAAGACGAGTCAGCCAAGACCGTTGAGTCTATATGTGGCGAATGTAATTCGTAACAATTACGCTCTCAGGAGTCATCAACATCGTTCCCGGAAGCGGCCGCGTGGCCGGCGAGGCCATCGTCAAGCACCCGCAAGTGCGAAAGTTGGGCTTCACGGGATCGACGGAAATCGGCCAGACGATAATGAAGGACTGCGCCGAGAGCAACATGAAGAAAGTCTCCCTGGAGCTGGGCGGCAAGAGTCCCTTCGTCATATTCGAGGACGCCGACATGCAGCAAGCCGTCAGATTGGCCATGAGCAGCGTGTTTTTCAACAAGGGCGAAAACTGCATCGCCGCGGGTCAGTCCATTGAATTTTTTATCACATTGTATTCGATCCTTGTGTGCGATTATATTTTGTGTGACGCGCAGGTCGAATATTTGTGGAGGAGCGCATCTACGATGAGTTTCTGGAGCGCGTGGTGGCCGAGACGAAGAAGATCGCGATAGGCGACCCGCTGAACCGAGGCACGTCGCACGGGCCCCAGAATCACAAGGCCCACCTGGACAAGCTCGTCGAGTTCGTCGAGATCGGCAAGAGGGAGGGAGCCCGCCTGATCCAGGGCGGCAAGCGGCTGCCCGTGCCCGGCTACTACTTCGAGCCGACCGTGTTCGCCGACGTCGAGGACGGCAGCTTCCTGGCCACCGAGGAGTCCTTCGGCCCGATCATGATCGTGTCGCCGTTCAGCTCCAAGGACGAGGACAAGCTGATAGCCCGGGCCAACGCCACGGAGTACGGCCTGGCCTCCGGAGTCCTGACCAAGGACATCGGTCGAGCGCTTCGATTCGCCGAGAAGATCGACGCCGGCACGGTCTTCGTCAACACGTACAACAAGACCGACGTGGCCGCTCCATTCGGCGGCTTCAAGAGATCCGGATTCGGCAAGGATCTGGGCCAGGAGGCGCTCAACGAGTACCTCAGGACCAAGACCATCACCGTCGAGTACTGATTTGCCACTACGATGTACCATATTGACTTTGTTGCAATTCTCGTCGTTGTTGAATTGTGCTTCATTCTCCTAGACTGTTAAATATATCTCAACCTATTACCTCTTTTTTTCATTTCAAATTGATCTCCATGAAGCATTTTATTAAATTTACGTACAATTAATGAAACAAATAAATCGATTTAATTGCCAATGGAATACATTGTTTTACCTGAGTCGATCGAAGCGTTTCATTTATCACGAACAAAAATTCCATAGTGAATACAGCAGCTTGTATTGTTTATTTTAGAATGGGATATTTGGTATTTAGAATGCCGATTGAGTAATGTATTTATTTTAGACTTCTCGAAATCAGAAACACGTTTCAGAGTTGAAAGTATCGATTAAAATTCTTCATCTGAATTGGAGCACATTTTAATCACGTGCAAGTTTCATTTGCTCATTGCTCTCGAAGCGAGACTCAAAATTGTTCATCGCTTGTTTATTTTTTTTTCTTTTTAAAAACTCGATATTTTCTATTCAGTGCGAGTCAATGTAATGTATGGGCAAACGTAAAGACAGTCAGCGGTAGAATCCATACGTTGCTCGTTATGTATTATCCGTTGCTCCCTGTGAGCGTAATTTTCGCGCGTAAGACCAGATGAAGAAAAAAAAATGATCGAACGAGAGGGGGGAGGGGGCAGGAAAAAAAAAGTAAAGGCTGAATACCTCGAAGGGGGTCCTACGGCACGCAGTGTGAGAAAGTCCACGGTCCAATCGTCGCCGGCGTTGATACGGTTTCTCGAGGCGGCAGATGCAATATATATATTCCTCGTAGACAAACTGCACGACGCGCAATGAGTTATATTTATATATGTGTACGCAGTTGGGGCAGAGCACGGGGGGCAAAGAGAGGAAGGGGTTACTCTCGAGCGCAAAAAAATTATACCGGAGCTCGTCTCTGCATGTGCTCGGCTTACTTGCATTCAGCACGAGTTGCTAAAAAAAAAAGGGAAAAAAAAGAGAAAAAAAGGAATTAGCCGAGCCGAACGAACCTGTTGAGACTTTTCGCATGTGTTTCGGGGCCCAGTCGCGGCCAGAGTCTCGTTCGGGACGGCTCCTCGGACACAGTTCGATCGCGCGTCGGTATACCTTGCACGTGCTCGCGTTATCACGATAGGCAATCGACGAAATTTGCGGACTAGCGCCGAGTGTAACAGCTGCTGCGCTCAGCTATACGCGCGCGTAATGATACACTTTTGCCTGCTTACGCACGGGAGAATGGCAAATGAAAGAATACCTATAACGCCAGAGTGAGAGAGAGAGAGAGAGAGAGGAGAGCGAGCGGGCATTGTAATAGAGGTGCACGTGCTGACTGAGTAGCTTATTTTAGCAGTGCAGCGACGAAATTGCGCCGACGACTCGAGCAATGACAGCCAATGATTCCAACTATAAAGCCGCTGCCACCGCACGATTAGCTTCAAGGTAACGATATCCATCCGCAAAGGTATAACACGTGTTTTCATTCGATTCCTCCTCGTCGCAACGGAGCTGCTGTTGATTGGAAACAATTTGGTCCAAGAGTAGCGTTGAATAAAATCGCCGCAGGATCGTTTTACGAGCGATCTCGCGGGCCTATATTTGAGATACGTTTTGCCGGACACGTATCCTGCTTCTGTTATTGTTAACTCGTACGTCGGGGCGAAGCCGTAGCATAGACTCGATCGGACGAAAGAAAACAATCGATTCAAAACAAAGCCGTCGCATATTAGTTTTTTGCTCCAAATGACGACAATCACTTATATGAAAGTAACTGTGCAGGATGCATCTGAAAAATAGTTCAAGATTTTCACGAAGCTACAGATTCGAGCTCACGGGGCCGTTACTGTGGCCAATGTCAAAATATCTGCCGCACATAAGCCGCAGAAACCGGTCGCGCGCTGCACTTGGGGGTACAGAAACGGTGAAGCTCCGAGTCGTAGGACGTAAACAGGCCCCGAACGACGAGGGTTGCGACTCGAGCCGTGCGAAAGCAAATTGCCTCCTTTTCTGACTCGTGCACGTAGTCTTCGAGCTGCAGCTTCGGGACACAGCGATTGTTTGGTAAACGCAGTTGTTGCTCGAATGCCAATGACCGAAGCTGCCCCGCGTCGGCGACAGTGGAGAGCATTTTTATCGCGTCGCCATCGATGAGCTCGAGGGCGAGGAATCGACACAGGAAGCCCAGCTTTCGAAAGGAAGCAGATACTCGCAATCGCGTGAAAAAAAAAATAAGCGCGCGCCGGGCCGTCGGAAGCTCGTTATAACAAGACCACGCGGAGAGATACGCAGTGACAACGAACTCGAGAGCCATGCAAATTCAGCCGTGCCTCATTTTGTTGTCTCTTCGTGACGGCTCAACAGGCGGCTTTATTTTATAAGTGACACACTGTAAGCTATGTACTTTTTATTTCACCATTTCAATTTCATCAATCGTTATTACACCCAGCTTCTATTTCTCTTTCACGATGTCTCGTTTATTTGTTCGCGATACCTCCATTTAAAGCGTGAATGATACATTTAAACTTTTACGAACTTATTAGGTAATGAAATAATTTAATAAATTTTAGCATTTGTAAAATCTTCAAAATCGTTTTTAAATACAATAAAAATGACTGTTTTCTTTTACTTTTAGATTGAATTGCGAAAAAAATTCAAACGAAACTTTACTGCTCGAAGTGGTAGATTCAAAATTAATTAATTTTTACGGTAATCAATCGAAACAGATCTTTAATCTTTAACAAGATGTCAACATTCAAGAAAAATGCCATTTATTAGTCTTCTCTTTACTACATTTATTGAAGATTCTGTGGCGATAATGTTTTTATTGTTTTTATAGAAGACCATTGAAAGATTTTTTTTAAAAATCCCAGGAAACACAATTGGAGATATTTATTTATAATTGATTTTGTCATTTCTGTAATAGTTAAGAATATATTTCTCAGTTATTATGGATTTACAGTAACCAATATGTTGAACTTCAAAGTTCAACGAGTGAAAATTTTAATCGCCAATTTCTGCTATTTATCAGTAACATATGGATGAAAATCAAGATACTTATATGGACAATGATTTATTAAGTTTTAAACTACTGTGACATTTTCTTCGTAAGTTTTAAACTACATATTATTTTTTGTTGAAATAGAAAAATCTTATAAACGTCATGTACTCGATATCTTTTAATACGAAAATGTATCAAGAGATTTAACAATTCTTTTCTTGCAACAGAAAACAGAATATGAAGAAAGTTTATATAATTAATACATTAAGGGTTCGGCTCGTCATCGGGCAACTTTGCTAACATTCATTAAAATGCCAGCTGCCCCCTGATGGGCTCTATCCTTTATGTAAAAGCTCATCAAAATTGTATGGTTCGTATCATTTAAAAAAATATGATTATTAACTAAACATTTATATTTAAAAGGTTCCATTTAAAATGTCATTGATTCAAAAAGTTTGTAATCTTAGTATTAACCATTAATAACTAAAATAATTTCTTTAGGAAAAAAATCAACGACATTTATATAATAAAACGACTGCAATAATTTTTCTTTTTGTTCGAACAGTGTACCTTTAGCCATTTTTTATTCTGTAATATATTTCATTCATTTTTAATACATTTTTAAAATACTATCAGTTTTAACAATGCGTGACAGTTTGTATCAGTTTATTTAAAGTTATCCGAAATAAATTAATCAATTTTGTAATTTATCACAATTAATAATTATTATCATATTTATTGTGAAATAATATAAGCTTTGAAGCCCTATTTCAGAAACAATAAAGGTTCGTTTTTGATCCTCGAAAAAAGGTACAATGAGAAGATTGTAATTAAAATACATAATTCACAATACAATTTTAATAAAGTAAGCTTACGGCCCGAATTTACTGAAGCAAATCATGTATGGACTTGAATATTCTTTTCAAGCTTAGTTTCCGTAACAAGCGCTTTGAACCGTCAAATGCTCATTCACGAAAGGTGGTTAAATTTATCTATAACTGAAGTTTTTTGAAAATTCATTTTCTTTCATAGGTTTTTGTAAATCATGATTTTTATGTATTATTCATAATGTTCAATAATTCATGTTTAATCTAATAATTTATACTTGAATTAAAAATTCAATTGAAAAAAGTAAATATCAAATTTTCTAACTTCAATAAATGTTTCATCGGGTTGAAAATTAAAATAATATATCAGAAAACAAAATGTTGATAAGTTCATGACGAAGATAAAAAAACAAATAAAATAATTTTTTCGATTTTTTACTGAGAATTTTAATTACAAACGGAAAGACATTATGATTAATTCAGCTTATATAGGATCATATGACTATTAATATATAAACATGAAGAGTAAAAGGTTTTGAACTTATGTATATAACATTGTACATTTACTTCAGTACAGGAAGGACTGTTCTATTGAAAAGCACGTGATAATTTCGTTTTATAAGAAATTTGCATCAACAAAGAGACATTTATATATTATTTAATGTTCCTAACGAGATATAATCTATTTTTTCCATAATTTTAAATGGATTGAGACATGTAGTTAGAATTTTTAACAGTATAATCGAATCAAGATTTTTGTACAATTTTGTGATATTAATAGATTTTCTCTTTAAATTAAAAGTTAAAAGTTAACTCTAAGATATAATATTGCATATTAATATTAAATTATAGAAATAAAAACTTAATATTACGTTTAAACTCATAAAGTGTGATGCTAAAAGACGGTATGCATGCATTAAAGGTTGAATTGTATAACAGATAAATAGCAGTAAGTCTTAAATACTTACAATATTAATATGATTTGAATAAATTTGTTGAAAATAAAACGAATTTCATTAATGAAAAATTGATAGTATCAAATAGTACCAAGAAAATTTTATACATACTACTCAGAGTTTCTTTTAACTATTAATATTTCATTTTCCTATTTCATTAATTTACTAATTGTTATCAAAGTAAAAAATAATTACACAAACAAGTATACAATACACCCACAAAGCAATTTAAATCTCGCAATGCTTGTCTCCAAATAATATGGTAGAAGTACATTTGCGCAGCTTTGCTTTCAGCTCTTATGTTAAGTCAGTCTTGTTTTATTTAAACAATAACACAACATTTTAGGGCGTATAACATATACATTTATATAGTTTAGTATATGTTTATATATTTTTATATTATATAATATAGTTATTTATTTTATATTATATAATATATTCATATATTATACTCATACTTTTCCATGTGTATACTTGTATGTGTTCAGATATCAATTATTTACTCAATTTTTGAGTGCTTTCATTTACTTGATCTATAAAAATTTTTTAAATTTAATAAATGGATAATTAAACAGTGACTCACATTTCGATTTTAAAATAGTAAACTGGACTGCACAAAAACTAACTGCAAAAATGGCGCTTATAAAAAGAAACGAGTTTTGTGAAAGTTTAAATTTTTTGAAAAAAATCTAATTGTATCATCTTTTTCTGTAGTATGGATTAAGATAACATAGATTAAAATTTTTAATTTACAATTTTCTTGTCAGTGTATAATTTACTTATTTATATAGATAAATTATCTATACATTTTCAACAATACTTTTTTCAAATAGCTACTTTAAGAATCGAATCCTTTAAAATTTTTGATCACACAAGCTACATTTTTAAAGCAATTGTATCGTCATTCTGAGAACAGCATGTAATTACTGTTTTATAACACTTATACTATTATAGAGAACGAAGAATTTAATATTAGTTTTTTTGTTAAGAATTTTCATTTGCCAATTAAAATGACTATCATTATTATATGGTTAATTTTAAAGAATTAAAGCTTTTGCAACTGGACAATATATACTATTTGCAATGATCGTTTATGCAACGATTAAAAATTTTCACGAATTTTCAACACTACACATATGAACAAGGAAAGGCATCTAATGAAAGTAGTAACTCAAGTATAAAAATTCTACGTTCAAAACGCTCATTACAAAACGTTTATGTTTGTCTATTAACAGCAGCTGAAAAACTGCTGTTTTTTTACTACGTGTAGAAGAAGCTGTCATTTCCGCGCGCAGTGATAAGATTCAAATCACATTAACTAGAGATGACTGTCACTTAAGAGTATGATCCTTTTTTCAACGCGATTGTACTATGATTTCTTTTGAATTTTTGACGACCAAACTGCAATGAAATGATAAACGTGATTGACTAATCACAAAACATTTTCATTCTTGACAGTTAGCATCCCAGCAAAAGTGTTGTTATCGTTGTTTCAACTGCAGTCATGTCAGTCACGTTTCTGAAAGTTTACATTAGACGAGAATGATTTTTATGACAATTCAACAAAATTTTAAAACAATATTATCGGGTGAATGACCCATTAAGAAAATTGTGTAATTTATTTTTGAAAACCGTATTTATACTTACATGAATTAAAATATTTAAAAATCGAGCTCGAGAGCAACTGGTTGGTCTTCCCCACGTCACCAGAAATGCGGCTGAGCGTAGCCCCCAGCAGCTCCCGCACCCCCAGCTGCGCCCGCAGGTGCTCCACTCATACCAAGAGGATTAAAACGATGAGGATGAAGCTTTTCCATGCGCACTGCGCCAGGTCCGGCTCCAAAGCCGTGTCCTGCGCCCGCACCGGCGCCTCGGCCGCCGAATCCGCCTCGACCTGCGAGCATTGCTGGTGGTCCACCTGCAGCTAGGCCAGCTCCGCCACCAATTCCTATGCCCATTGGTGGGACACCGCCGTAGCCGCCTCTACCTCGACCTACAACACCGCCACCGCCACCTGAAGAGCAATTTTTATATGTAATGGTGTCGTCCTACTAAAATTTTTAAATAAATATATATAAAAATGATACCAATTAATAACACTACGAAATAATTCGACCCATAGCATTAGCAAACCAAAGAAAAACTTAAAATTAATTACTTACTTCTTGTAATACTTTATTCTAGTTAAGAAACAAATTTAGATTGCGTGTAAAATTAATTTGTATTCATCTATCAACTATGTAAACAAAAATGCGTAAAAAATAATAAAAAAGAAATCAAATTCAAAGAATAAAAGAAAAACAATTAAAGTAAGTGACAGAACAGGATTAATGAACAAAGCAATGTGAATATAGAATCAATACTTTTTCTAATGTTCATTAAGTCAAGTGTTTATAAAGATACTAATTTTGATAGAAATATATAATTTAATAAAGATTCACAAATTAATGTGAAAAATTATCCATAAATCATTACATGACTTCACATAATACACTTTGAAAAACGACTTATAAAAGCCTAGTGATAAGCATTGTACTCATAAATTACAAGTTAGCTAAATAGAATATACACTTAATTCTCTAATAATATTCTTGATATAAAAATATTTAATCATTACAATTTTCAACTCGTGTTAAATTTACCGTTTTCAAGTGTTCAAGTATGCATAATGCAAACAAAAGTTGAGATACTAAATTCATCAAAATAAATTAACAAAATTATTTAAAACAAAACAAAAAAAGAATCTAGAAAAGTTACTACTTTTTTTTAGTCATCAAATTTAAATTGTGGGGTATTTTCCCAATATCACATTATTCTTTTGCTTTAAAAACAAAAACGATGAATTACACAGTTATAAAAATACAATCCGCATTATCAATGTTAGCGATTATTTCAATGCCAAAAGTTGTGGAATGGTGACTTTGTTGGAGAAGCAGGTAGTCTAGCTAAGGTAAAACAGAAATACAAGAAGTTATTTTTTGTAGAACAATAAAGGCTTCCTTGAAACATTTGAATTACAATTAAACTCACAATATTTTCTTGAAGATTTTTTTCCATTATACAAGATATGCTCTCTGATTCCTAGATCTCCATATTGTTCCTCAAGCATTGCAATATTAATTTGTTTTTCTAATAAAGCAACTAGTGGAATTCAAAAAGCAAGCATAGCCAAATATTTATAAAAATGCATTCATGTAGACAATTGATATGAAGTTTATTTCACCAACATTTCAATAGAAATTTTCAAGTTGTTTTAATCGTAAATCTAATATTTTTATTAATTGAAATGTTGTTATCTAGAGTCAAAGCTATTCAACTACAAAAGCAAAAAACAACACCATGCACAAGAATGCAAATAAGAAGCTTAATACCCAAATATTACCAAATTGAAAATAAGTAGAACAAAATATGAAAAAAATGTTTAAAAATGTTTAATAATCTTGCTTTTTTCTTTACCGCGACTTTGATTGAATCCTGCTTGCCAACCAGCATAATAAGCTGCCTTTTGTTTCCCATGCTCTTCTGCAATTTTAACACTAAGTGGTTCAGAACCTCCTTCTGGTATTGTACCATGTAAATGATTGATGGCTTCTTGAGCTTCTTCGCGTTTATCATATCTAACACAAACAAGATCAATATTTTTTAATCATTTATAAAATGTTTTTTATCAACTATTTATTATTAACTTTATTATTTATTAAGGTATTGAGTAGAACTTTTTAAATAATAAAAAATAAATTACCTGACAAAGGCTACTCCTCGAGGCAATCCTGTAAGTTTATCTTTTAATATATTTTTTTGAACAATGCGACCAAATCGGTTGAAAATTTCTTCAACTTGTTTTTCTGTGATATTTCTAATAATTAAAAATTTAAACAAAATGCATTAAATTTTTTATAACTATTTTTATAAAATGTACACTAATCTTTTACCTTGGCAAATTAGTAACATATAAGTTTGTTTCTTTAATTTCTTCACCAGAAGGTCTTGCAAATGAAACTTTCAACCTCTTATTTTGAACTTGAAGACCATTGAGAGTATTAATTGCTGTGGCAGCATCTTCAGCTTTGGCATAATTTACAAAACCAAAACCATAACTATAACCAGTCTATATGAATAAAAAAAATTTAAATCAATATTAAAGTATTGATTAATAATAAAAAATATTCAAATATTTAAAATATATTACTTTGTAATCTTTCATAACTCTACAGGACTCAACTGGACCAATTGTGACAAACATACTGTAAAGCTCTTTTTCTGTCATACTTTGAGGCAAATAGTTAATAATTAAATTAGTTCGATCATCTCCACTATTTTTATTTTGTTGAGGTGGTTGTTGCTGTGTTTGTTGCTGTCCTTGCTGTTGTTGATATGTTGGTTGTTGATAATGTTGCTGTTGGTCATTCATTTTGCTATCTTGCTGGATACTTCTTTTTTCTTTTATTTGAGTTTGTGAAAACAATGTTATACTCTCTAGTTGGTTCAACGGCAACAGCTGATGTGTTGGTAAGTTTCCACTGTTTCCATCGATAAAAACCATCCATATGATCGGCAAATACAAAAAATATAAACAAATTTATTACTACTGTTACCACGGATTTGTCCATGATGATCCAGGCAGCTTTTTTACTAAGTTTAATCATATTGAATCAAAAGAAATATTAAAAAAAAGTATATTAGAAAATAAATGGATTATATGCGCTGTCAGACCTGTTTTTCAGAAACAAACAAACAAAAATGTATAAGGGTCAAACTTGCACAATATTATTTGCAAAGTATTAAGTATGAGTTTATTCAACCTGAATTATTTTCAAAATATGGCTACCTAAAACTTTATATTGAATGATCAATTGTTGTCTTATTGAGCAACTTCTTTAAAAATTGGATTTTGTTTGAAATACATGAAAATTCAATGAACCTGAACTTAAATCTCAGGACATGATTTTTGGTATCATGCGAGCTTGATTATTGTAATAAAATTTTGGCAAGAAATTTGAAAATACATTATTAAAGAATTAAATTTGTTTAATAGAAAAGTTATGAAATTTAAAAAAAAAACTTTGGTCTTAGATGTGTCAAAATTTAATTAAAATTAGGTCAAAATAAAAACAGGGCTAACAAATTGTTATTTACAATCAATTTGAATTAAGTAATGAAATTTCTATGTTGAAGCATTATGATTAGTGCAAATTTTCAAATGTGAATAAAAATCAGATAATATTCACTGCAAATTAAAAGTTTTTCCAAATATTTAATAATAATTCATTTTATAGTATGCAATAGTCTGACTTGAAGATTATTTTGAAGTATCCAACATCAACAAAAAAAGCATAATCAAATAATAAAATCAATGATTATTATTGAGATAATGAAATAAGTAAGTTAGATATTTTATTATTTAAATTCTATGAAAATATCCTATTATGAATAATAAATAATTCTCTATTTTGTAGTACTGTAATGCACACAGCTATATTGTTTGGTTCTATTATAAGAAAATTTGTTCTACATCATTAGATTAATGGTCTAATCTATAACTGGTTGATCTAAATTAGAATTTGCTGAAACAGAACTTGTATTATTTTGTACAAAATTAAATCATCAAAGAAAATGTTACATTAATTAAAAAGTAAATATTTTGAGATTTATGTATAAATCAAATAGATTTTTGAATAAATCTTTAATAGTAACAACAATTTCATTTGATAAAAAGTTAAAAATTACTCAAAAAATTTTTTATTTTGTGGCTGTGAATTTGTGTTATAATAATCATTGAAATTAATTAAAGCTGTATTGAAAGTCTAGCAAATGATACAATCTTAAAACTACACTCCATTTATTCAAAAAATTAAGGTAAAGTTGCAAATTTCAATTACAAAATTTTATCAAAACACGGAGAAAATACAAAATAAAAAATACAGTTATTTATAATTATTTGACTATTTTAGAAAACTACAAACGATACTTAGACATTTTTGCTTTTGAGTGAATAAAAAGACTATTCAATTCGATAAAAAGCGCATACTCGAGTTAATTAAAGGAAAGAAAGGGAAAGATGCGTGAGCAGCTGCCGATATATAAATCAACGATAAACATAGAATAGAAAGATGAAAGAAACAAAGCATGCTTGTATGTGCATGAAATAGTGAATCATCAACAGATTCAAGGCATGGGCTCTTGTCGTTATGTAAGTCTCGCGAAATCTCTCCACCTGCATTGATTAGCGTCGGCGACGATTCATCTCTTATTTTGAAGTATCGATATCATGCCAATGAGCAATGATGCACCGTTACGTTGGAGTTAAGCTTAGGAAGACCGAGCAAACGCACTGCACACATACACAAACACCACCACTGGGCATAAACACGACTACATTATACTTCTACAATTACGAAAAGTCACACACGCACACACACAGACACAATGTCGCAGACGCTCAGACAGCATAACACTCGCGAATCGCGATATCATATACGAATCGCGTTACACTCGGCTAAATAACCATTTAATTTTTGCTTGAGCAAAATGAGCACAAAAACGAATTATAAACTGCTTGGTACAGAAACTCGTTACGAGCGTTTCGGACTCATGAAGCTAAAGGAATTTGTATAAAGGGGCAGAGGGGCAGTAACAGTAACAGCAGTATCAGCTATATAGCGGCTATACTTGCAAGGATTAATACATAGATATTTATTTGTTTTATTTGTTTACATTCGCGCACGTAGATGTCAAGTTTCGGTGCCCATAATTAAATGCTAGCGATAAAATAATTATTAATTTAAGTCAGTAAAGTAATAAGCAAGAGTGGGAGTAATAAATTAATTTTAAATAAAAATGGCGATTTCATAGGTAAAGGAGAATGCAAAACAGCAGAATATGCACTAAAGGGGGAGGTGCATACCCCATGAACCGATGGGAAAAGTAGGAGGTGACATTTCGAGTGAATTTAAAATTTCTAATCGATGGGAATGCTTTTTTGTTTGTATGCATACCTTGCGGACAAAACTATATTATCAGGAGCAAGCGACGAGATGCGAATTGCGAATTGTTTGACTGCTGCTCTTGGCGCTTCGCCGCTATACTACCGCTGCTTAGTATCCGCCGTAGATATCTATGTGTATATGTCTATACATTTGTTTGTGTATGTGTGTGTATATCTCGTCGTGGGTCGAGTTGGCTGCAGTAAGTCGATTGATACGGTGTTGTCGGTCGTTGAATATACACACACAGACGCTGGAGAGAGTCAAGAGTCGAGCTGTCCGCACTAACTTCTTACTGCACTTAGAATCACGAACCGACAAACTTTAAAATTTGTGTACTTAACAGATAATCTTTCGTGTGCAAAATCTCCACCATTTGCACACCCGCGGACACTCTCGACTTCGGAGTTTGGACTACTACCGCAAATATTAAGATCCGCCTGAAGTCTAAACTTGGAACTTTTTGCTGCCAGTCGCTAAAATATCGCTGGGCGGGCGGCCCCTGCGTAAGCGTAATTTCAAAACATCAGTCAGCGCCACCTCGTAGCTCGAATAAACGTTTTTATCGGAGTCGTTTGAACAATCGTCTCGATTATCCACTACTAATGAGCGGTAGGCACTGGAAAAGTTGAGTCAATACCCTTCTCTCTTCCCTTTAGGATACGACTAATTACCACGTGCAACTTGTGTATTTACGCGGTCAACAGTCCCAAACGATGTTAGATCAACGGCTTCGTGGAAACACGAGTTAATTGACAACGATCGATGCAAGCGATCATAACAAAAATCGTAAACATATCCCAAATGTATACATACGAAATGACTTACGAGATGCTGAACGCATCAATGAGGTAGACAATGGGTAGGTAGGTCGACGCGATCGTGTTAAAGAAACTACATAACACTACATAAACTGAAATTGATACTGCTACTCAGAATCTTTGTACTTGGAATATATTTTTATTTTTTTCCCTGAAGTTCTGCTAAATTGTACCCGTATCCCAATTTCTATACCTTTCTCGTAAAAGATCTGCTGTCCACAATCTATTCGTTAGTTCTATCATGTGCAAATTAATTCTAGTTTTTGCAAATATGCATTTTCGCGTTATTAAAGTCTATCGTCTGAAACAATAAAAAACTGATAGTTTACAATTTCAGATTACACAATATTTGATAAAAATTGTCTCAGTACCCTTTGAAATTTGATCTATGCAGCTGATGAACGAACAAACCCGAGTTGAGAAACGTCATTTTATGTAAATTGTAAATCCTATTTGAGCACCTTATCGCATAATAATGAATGAACCAAAATGTCAAATGAAGACAGTTCTTAATCAGGCTCCGATTTTACTTTAACGCACGTATCGCGTAGTTTTTATCTTATAATAGTAATAATACTGCATAATATTGAAATTTGTAAACACGAATAAGTACGTACCTTGGTACGAAATTCCAAGTGGTCGCATACATTTCGGTCTATAAATGTTAGGGCAATTCGATATTGTCAAGCACTTGCAGAGTAGACGATTCGTACGATTTTATACTATTATCAAGTACATGAAACGAGCGATAAACACGATAATGCAGAGGCTATTCTTTTGCGATACTCCGTTTAACGGTTATGAGAGGTATAGTCAAGTTATTAATAAATAACAAAACAAAAAACAAACGATGGGAGCAGTCAGTTATTACCTTAAACTAGCTTCACTCTATTTTAGCCATTTTTTTACCATTGGTACATTAATTTTCACAACAGTTTTACTTATTAATACTTGTATAATAATGTTTCTAAAAAATTTTCAATGTATACACTATCAAGTCACACTTGAATAAACTAAACTAGTACTTTCTTGTAAATTAAATGAATCATTGAGTAATGTATTTAACTCTAAAGTATAATACAATAATAATTATAATTTTGTTAACTTATTTCATTATATGTCATGGATATATTAAATAGTTAGACTATTATTTCACCATGATTATAAGTGAATGTAGATTAAAATTAATTATAAATAATATGAATATAACATTCATTATTTTTAAAATTTAAATAATACCCTAATAATGATTACATATTTGTATGAGACATTTATTACTGTTAATAGATAGTAATAAAATTATTAAGTAATGAATAATGAAAATGAATGAGATTTCTAAAAAGTAACAGTAAATCTATTTTATACTTGATTGAAATTTTTTGAGAATTTACTACTCATCTCAAAGCACAAAAATTGTTAACTTTTCTGAAACGAAACAAACGATACGATTTTCGTTCAGCAAACTCGGTGGAGGTAGTACTCGAAGGAGTCATACATTCAGTTTTGCTATCCCAAGCATATCTAGGAGATTCTATACCAAAAGGACTGTAAAGCTTAGTTGGTGTACGACCAAGTAGATCACGTGAACGAGTTTGGGGAGTTTGTGACTTCAGTGCACTGCAGTCTGGAGATTGTTGCTCTTCTAAACGTTGTCTACGACGCGTTGAACTTTTGAATTTCTAAAAAATTTAAATTGATTAATTTAACTGATTTCCAATTATTTTCTTTTTAATACACCACCAAAGAATACAAACTATTGAATATTTTTCAAAATAATTATATCATAAGAAATTTTTTTACCTGTGACATAGAACCAAATGTTGATTTGACTGATGATATTGTTTTAGATATTCTATTTGCCCCATTTCTTAAAACTCGCCTTGAATCCATAGAAACTTGTTCTAAGCTCAAATTTTGCCAAGATTTTTCATTAGAAACTTTGTTTTTTGATTTTCTTTTGTGTTCATCTATATTTTCTTTCTCAAATTTATCTTGAAGTCTTTGCCTGATATTATTTTGAGAACGGCAATTTTGTGGTGAATTTTGAGCATTTGTATTTTCCCGATGAAAAATAAACGATACACTTCTTGAATCTATGGGCATTTTGCTGAATTGAATATCTTTATTTGAATAAAGATTAAAACTGAAATATTAAAGATTTTAGTCATTATTGAGAATTTCCACATAATTCTTGTTAAGAAATTAAAATTAAAGTAAATCTATGATTATTAACAATTGAAATTCAATGATCTCTATAGTATAAGAAAAATAAGGGAAAAGTTAAGTGAAAAATTCGAAAAGGCAAAAATAAATTCGCTATGAATTCATAGAAAATGGATATTGTTATAATTTGATTTTTATTTAATATATTAATTTTAATATTAGGACAGATAAAAACAAAAACAAACGTCAGTTGTCAAGAAGTCACGATTTAGTGATTTTATTTGAAAATAAAAAACTTTTCATGACCAACTGTCTTTTTGTACAGTTACGCTCATTTCAAGTGTAATTAAGTAAACAAAAAAGTAGTTTAAAAACTCGTCCGTTTCAAAACATACCTCAGAATTTCGTCTGTCTTGACAAATTTTCTGTCCGAACACCGTGCTATCAATCTAATAAATTTTAAATGCAGCCAAACTCTACTGTGGCATGACGCAAATTATGTAGTGTCGGTTATTTTTCTTCTCAACTATCACAACGAATGCGTGCGAACTTGTATGTAACTGCACGAACAAGATGCGTCCTTCTATACACCAACGGTCGCACATCTGCCCCTTCTTCCCTCTCCAATCTACTTACTTAGACCCTTTTAACAGTTTTAGCCGGGACTCATGCTATGTATGGGCAAAGTGTTATGAAAGTGCGTGCGGCTTGGGAGTGTGTACACTGTACAGGATACTCGAACCACAGTCATCGAAGGTATGCAAGCCATGAGCGATGTGTTGTAATGGTCGACCGTGATTGTAATGATGATGCATTTTAGCGGATAAATGTATATTTTTCAGATATGTATTTTTTCAAAGGACGACACTCGACAGCCATTGATTTTGTCGGTTGTTATAATCAAAATTTAAAATCGAAAAATTATCTACCGTCAAAGTAATTTCAATCAAGATAAGACTTCTTAAAATTCACGATCCATTTTACCGACAGTGTAAAAATGTTCAAACTAACCGCGCTTTCTACTTGACGCATGACGCACCGATAGTTGCAATTTGTACAGGTTAATATTTTTTTTTTAATGACTGAACTATCGGCGTTGTGCTCGCGGACTGCGTCAAAAATACACAAATCAGAATTCAAATGCTCACGTTGCACAGGTGAACGAACGTATTAATGCAGCGTTATCGCTGTACGCATTCGTTTTCGTCGTAAATATACTTCGATATACAATATATGTGAACTTCAGATTGATGTACACGTTCCTTTTAAAATTCATTCAAAGTACTTCATTGTTTTTATCGAATTGTTTAAAAACTGTATAAGTGATTATAATCATAAAGACAAACTTCAACGTCAGTGGTTTTCATGTTGTAATGTGCGGGTAAATGGTTTAGAGTTTTAAAATACTTAACTCATGAAAGAAACTTTAAAACCAGAAGAAACTTCAATATTTCGTAAACTGCAATCAATAACTCTGTCTATTGAGTAGTTAACAATATAATCTGGTGCTTATACCTTTTGTTTTCTTTGCAACATTATCTGTTGTAAATTTATGGTCTCAGTTCATTGTTATATTTTTCAGTTAGTGTAATTTATTTTTGTATTATTTTCTACCAGTTAAAAAACATAAACATGTCAGGTTATAACAAAAAAGTGTCATACTTTTATAATCCTGATGTGGGGAACTTTCATTATGGGCCAGGACATCCTATGAAGCCACATAGATTGTCAGTTATTCATAGCTTAGTTATTAATTATGGTTTGCACAAAAAGATGGAGATCTATAGGCCATATAAAGCCAGTACCCATGATATGTGCAGATTTCATTCAGATGAATATGTAGAGTTTTTACAACGTGTTACACCACAAAATTTACAAGGTTTCACTAAGTATTTATCCAGTTTCAATGTTGGAGATGATTGTCCAGTTTTTGATGGGCTATTTGATTTTTGCTCTATGTATACTGGAGCTTCCTTAGAAGGTTTGGCTAATTTTTACTGTATAATTTAAATATACTTATGTTTCATTTTAATACATTTATAAATTCTTATTATCAGGTGCAACTAAACTAAACAATAAAAGCTGTGATATTGCTATTAACTGGAGTGGAGGTTTGCATCATGCCAAGAAATTCGAAGCTTCTGGATTTTGCTACATTAACGACATTGTGATTGCTATTCTGGAATTATTAAAGTATCATGCTCGTGTTCTGTATATTGACATTGATGTTCATCATGGCGATGGTGTTCAAGAAGCCTTTTACCTAACAGACCGTGTAATGACAGTATCTTTTCATAAGTATGGAAACTATTTTTTTCCGGGAACTGGGGACATGTATGAAATAGGAGCTGAAAGTGGACGATATTATTCAGTGAATGTACCTCTAAAAGAAGGCATTGATGATGCATCATATATTCAAATATTCAAACCTACAATAACGTCTGTGATGGATTATTTCAGACCTACAGCTATCGTACTTCAGTGTGGAGCTGATTCTTTAGCAAACGACAGACTTGGCTGTTTCAGTCTTAGTACTAAAGGACATGGAGAGTGTGTACGATTTGTTCGTGATTTAAATGTACCTCTGTTAACAGTGGGTGGTGGTGGCTATACTTTGCGAAATGTAGCTAGATGTTGGACTTATGAAACATCTTTACTTGTTGATGAACCAATTAGTAATGATTTACCTATGACTGAGTACATTGAGTACTTTGCTCCAGATTTTTCGTTACATCCAGAAGTTGTAACACGCCAAGATAATGCTAACAGTAAACAATATCTTGATACAATTGCTAAACATGTTAGCGAAAATCTAAAGATGCTTCAGAGTTCACCTAGTGTACAAATGCATGATGTTCCTTGCGATCTTTTACCTCCTGAAGAAGATAGACAGCCTGAACCTGATCCAGATTCAAGACAAAATACTCAAGACTTAGATAAAATAATTGAGCCTGCGAATGAATATTATATGGGTGATAATGATCAAGATAAAATGGATTCTAGTGACACTTGAAAATAAACTCAAATAACTCAATCAGACTATTTGATATTTTTATTGTGCATTGAAGAGTAAGCAGATTTATTAATGTAACTTTTTTACTCAGTCATATATTTTTTTAATTATTAATTTTATTTGGAGCCTCTTTCATAACAAAAATGTCAAATTATAGAAACATTATTGTATGAACTAAAATTTTGAATCAACTAAAATTTGTAAAATATTACTTAATAGAGCTATTTCTATGTTTTAATTTTATATTATGATAATTTTAATACTTAAATGACTCGAAAAATTTAAATGATAAGAAATCCAAATAAAACAGTTATTATAAATTCTAAATGCAATATTATTTATATGATGCATCAAGTGCACATCATGCCGTATAAAATTTGTGAATGCTAGAAAACATATTGTAATTTTATATAGGAAGAGGAGGAGACATGAGTTGTAATAAAAATATAAACAAATTTAAAATTTAGCTTCAAATCGATTTTTAAAATCGTTTTTTCCATATTAAAATTGTATAGAAGATCCATATGAAAATATAATTTTATAAAATCACATTGACTTTTCTTGACGGAAATTTTTTTTTACTAATGTAACTATTTATAGGTAGGAATCGAAGAACATTTCCAAAACACCAATACTTTGAACGAAAAATGATTTTACTAACTTAAAGATTGTACAAATAAATAATTTTCATTGATCGACTTCGTTTATTAAAAGATATAAACATCTCATTTTTTCTTATTTAGCTTTTGTTACATTAAAGCAGTACTTAGTTCTCTGTACAAAGAAAAATATTCATCTAAAAATCTCTACATTAAGCACGATGTTTTTTTTTTTTTTGATACTCGGTTGCAAAATTATTTCATAACAGAAATAATAATGAGTTTAAGAAGCGTTAAAATTTTACCACGCGTATTTATCACGCCACCAGGGCGAAGCAGCTACCAAAAAAAGTTTTAAACACAGATAACTATATGAATTGCTTAATCTGATACATGAGTGCGTCTGCTCCTTGGATTATCTTTGCTATATCACAGAGGACTAAGCTTAAAAAATCTTTAAATTCCAATGTAGGATATTTTATGCAATAGATATTTCAAATTAGGATTTTTAGCATTTCCATGCAGTGGATACAAACATCCACTCATTTTACACAAAAATAGTAATTCTTTGTAAGGTATAGAATTATAGCGCATATAAATACAGCATGGAAAAAACACTTACACAAAAATTAATTATATTATATCAATAAATACACAATAGTACACGTAAAAAAATACTTATATTTTATACTAACATACAACACACTCCATTAAATCATATTCTTACTTCAATTATGTGTCGCACAATTATATATCTGTACGATGACTCGTAAAGTATATTCAATCTTTCTTACGTATTATTATATTATGAACGGTCACGCAACTTTAATTACTTTCACCATATTATTTTCACAACACTTAAACACATTTATAAAAACATATACTGTATTAAATTTTTTTCAGTCTCATAATGTCAACAGAAGGAATCAGACGTCGCCCCGTCTTTACATTTTCACATTTTAATCTTTGTTTAAACACAATATCGGAGAAACATTCAAGCTAATGGAAAAGTTTATGAAAATAAAAGGCTTTACAAATGATATTTTTCGTGCATTGCACAAGCCTCGTGTGTCTATATTTAAATGATCATCTACTTCGCGCTATATATTCTCAACTTTTATTGGATTTTTCACGAAGCTGTGAAAAATCTTTATATTAAAAGTTAAATTGAACTTCAACTTCTAATAGTTATTGTGAGAGTGTGTTTGATTGACTAGATGACGGTTGTTTCACCTCGTTGCCATTTTTATGCGTCGAAACAAAGTTAGGATGACAGAGAGACTAATTCTTTTGCTGAAGAACTCTTCTCGATTCAAGTCCATTATTAGTAACAACGAATATTTTGAATAAAATCAGGTCTCGAAGTGCTTGTAGATACTTGTAACGTAAGTCATTACTTGTTGCCAATCTGGCCGTTCGAGCTGGCACATGTCGCTTATGTTCTGAAATTTATAATTCATATTAAAAATGTAAGATAGGAATTTTCAAAAGTTTTCCTTTATAATTAATATTATACGAGTACTCACAAGAGTTGTAGGTATACCAACGCTCTCAGCTGCAGAAAAAGCTAGCATAAAGTTTCGCCTCTTGTCCGCAGGTGTTAAGGAGTCGTAGGGTACCTTATCTGGTAAATAAGTATGCATGATAGCACACAAAGCTAGTCCATCATTCCAAGAGCTACTGAAATTAGTTATATCTATATTTCGATAGCCAACAGTTTTATTTTGACACCACTTCAACAAAGCGTTTCGCCGGGAACCACCGTTTTTTACAAGTCCGCAAAGAGGATCTTTACGATCAGATATGTCAGAGGCGCTGTTTCTTCGTACAAAATCAATGGTTTTAGAATTAAGTGAGGATGTTTCCAATATTTGACCTGAGTTAAATACGCTAGATACTGCTGATTTAGATTCTACAAAAAAAAAATTATTAGTTCATTTTAAAACATAAAAAATGTAACTTGCTTTCGTCAATTAAGTAAAATTGTAACGGAAAGAATAATTATATATCGTTTAGTTACCTAGCAATGATTTCTTTGCGTTGTTAATTTGAGATTTATTATTATTATTAGATGTGTTGCTGGTACAAATAAGATTATTTATTTGTTGATCCCTGAGCGGAGTTTTAATAGATGTAACGTCATTGGTGCCAATAGAATTTAGAGATGATGTTGAGCTGCTACGACTTCCTGGTCCTAAAATAAAGTATAATGTAAAAAAACCAAAAAACAAGACATCTTTTACACTGTGACTAAAAAAGTACGCACCCGCTTTGGCCTGTTTTGTCGCATTTTCTATACTTTCAATGAGGCATTTTACTGACAATCTCGAGTCCTGACGACTGATATTCGCTTTCCGTCGTGCTGCCATTTCGTTCTGAACACTCGTAATAACTGATTGTTGTGTCTCCGTTGGTGTTGTAATAATTTTCGTAGTCTGTGTATTATTTTTTTGAGGATCTGAAATAAAAAATAGTTGAGTTTTTGATTTTTATACAGGAAAAACAGCCAATTTTCATGAAAATGCAAAGCTACTAAGCAAATGATATAATTTAAACGTATTTTGGACACAAAACAAAATCGAAAAACTGTTCAATCTAAGTATTCAATCTTTTGTAAAATAATCACTTATTTTAACATTTAAAACAAAAACATTAAAATATAAATGAACTTTTAATGTTTAAGGAAATATAAACTGGAAAATGAATGATACATTTGGTAAACCAGTAAAAACCAAGCTAACAAAACAAAACTTTTTTATACCCATTTTTAAATTAAACAAATATATCAAGCATGATGAGAATATTATAATTTGACGTTCTTTTCCGTATGCATGACAGAGACAAAGAGGTCACACAAAAACATTTAAGCTTCGCTAATGTAAATCACATCACAAATGCCATTTCTAATTTTCATCAAAGGGTGGTTGGATCGATGAATATTATTTTTAATGTTAATGGTTGTGAGTAAATATAATACAACTCAAGAAACCATTGATGGTCCTTTAATATTACAAGCCCATAGTGCCAAAATGGATTAACGTTTGTCAAAAAAAACACAGAAAGCCCGCTTTTCACGATGCAATTGTTCTTTAGTCCAGACTATTTTTTGTATTAATTTTTTTAATAAACTTCATCGTCGTCAGTGACGGTGTAACGCTATCACTTACTGCCGAGCAATCTTCGTGGCAGCGGTACAGGCTTAGCCAGCTTGAAGACATCCTCAAAATTTCCAGCATATCGACGACGCGCTACCGACGGACTGCGACTAGAATTAATGCTGCTATTCTCGTCTTTGAGCCTTAGGGTAGGAAGATCTTCAAATTTCTGACGCAGCATGGACACCAGCTTTGGTCCAGGTGGAAAACGACTGGTACTGCCTGAGCCTGGCACGAGCTCCAAAGAATTGCGTAGGAACAAATCCCTGCGTTTTTTATTTTTAATATATTGATTTTCGATTATTGTTTGAAGATTTAACTTTAGATTCAAATAATTTTATAATGAAAGGTTTTTAATTTTTATTTTATTCCAACTATCAAAATGATTACTAGTAATGTTAACCCTCTACTCATCTACTTTTAGATACTTTTTGACAGATGTTGTAAATTTTAAATTAAAATATTTTTACAGTAAAGGGTTAAATGTGAGGTGAAGAAGTAAGAATTAGTTTCAACCTTTCCAAAAATTGTTTCAATTTAGTATATGATTTTAAATCATCAAACAATAGAAAATCAATATGTAAAGGGTACCTTTTAAATGCAAAATTTGTGGGTTGCGATTCATGCATTGAATTTCTCAAGAAGTTTGATCTTGAAACTTGTAAATCTTCTGTTAGGGGTCTTTTTATGTCTGAAATTTTATTTTTCAAAAGTATCTCTGATTTGGCTTCCCTCGAAGTTTTTTCAGAAATATTTGCCAAAGAATCATCGGTTAAATTACTTCTTTCATGTAGATCCTTTCTTCGAAGGCTTATGTCGTTGAAATCAACACAATCAAATGAATTATCATCTGAGTGCAGATTTTCATTAAATATTTGTCGTTCCGATAGCTGTTCCAAACTTTTACTAAAATTCGAGTTTAGATTGGTTTTATAGCTCGATGATGTATCGTAATCCAATATTTTTTCCTCGGGTTCGGTCGTATTAAGTAAATTTTTGGTCTCCTCCGAGTTTTCTGTTAATGCTTCAGGTGTCTGAACATCCGTTTCGATGATCCGATTATCCATTGAATTTACATAATTTGAATAAACACAATTGTTTGGCACAAAAAGTCGGCCATTCGAAACATTCATGCTATGTACACTTTCGTTAACATTTTTATTAATTGAAGTTTTCTCCAATAAATTGATTTGGGTGACATCGTTTTTAGTATCAGATTCGTTACGATCTTTATTATTTTTATGAATTTCTTTATCAATATCTAACTTAACATTTTCATTCACTGTTTCATTCAAATAACTACTTAGCCCATTGATCAATTTTGGGGGGGATTCGATGCTCTTTGGTATAGTGATGTCTTTGGGTAATTGCACTTTTAAGTTATTTAAAGTTTCACTGGATTCACGCAATTGTACACATGACAAGTTGGGTTTATTTTGAATTGAGCTGCAGTGAATTTTAGGAATTGAATCAATAATCTTTGGTGTAGGACTAAGATCAGATTCTATATCAAATGTTTTGTTACAATTTGAAGAATCAGAAATTTCATTTGAATTATCAAAGGTAAGCACTTCAGTTGAATCTTTGACAATATTCAAACTAGACATTGGAGGTTTATCCGAGTCAAACCAAATGCTGTTTTCCTTTTTTGCTAAACTGTGATGTTTTGAAGTGTCTTTTGTTTTTGAAGTCTTTGAATTATTTTTACTTTGTTCACTTTTAACTGATTGTTTTTTCAAATCGAATGGTTTTTTAATTATTGTACGCCCGCGTTTCAACATAGCGTTTCCTTGAATTTGGTCGTCCCTTTCTAGTATACCATTAAAATAAAAAGAATACGAAAATCAGTACTACCATGCAAAATGATAAAAATGTGAATTGTGTTTAAGAGATTCATGACATGAAATTGTTTCTAAAAATGTATGTAGGTTCTCCAAGTTCAAGTTAAGGTACTATCTGATACATTAAATTTATAAACTACATATTTAATTGTTTTTTAAATCAAACTCGAATCAAGAAACATATTTAACTACTTCTAAACAATTTATGTCAGAAAAGTATGAGAATAGTTTACAAAACAATGTAATTCTTTTTTCTTATTATTTATATCCTTTTTTATCCAAACTCACAAATATTGTTTTGAAACTCATTCTCAGTCATTTCATCAAGAACATGTACTTACTCGTGTTATTAAGCTTATCCAGCTGTGTTTCAAGAACTCTAAGTTTTTCTCTTAAAGCTTGATTTTCCATGACCACTCGTTCCAATTCACTCTGTGCTTCTGTTTTAAAATCGTTTGCAACTCTCACAGTCATGAGAAGATCAGTTTGAAATTGTTGCCATTCAGTCGTTTCTTCTCGTCTGTTTTTTCGCTCCTCTGCTAAAACTCGTTCTAATTCAGCCAGCCGACTCAAATTTTCGCGCTCTCGTCGTTGAAGTTCACTTAATACTGTTTTCATTTCACGTTTGTCCTCCAAATGTCGTTGACATTGCGATTGAAGCTCAGAGAGAGAGTCACGAACCAATTGGAGTTCTGCATTCACTGTCATGCGTTCGTCTTTCATTTTTTTGATTCGAAATTCTAGGTCTTCAATGGCACTCTTTGCATTGAAGCGAGCAACCTGTAAAAAATAGGAATATTATTAATGAATAATCTTTTTGATCTCTATTTATTTTTGATACATTGTATTATTATTCTGCTTAGTCAGTTAAAATATTGTCTTTAAGTAAATAAGCCTACTTGGCAATTAAAATTCATATTATTTGCAAGAACTGATCGGAAAAAGACCTATTCAAGTACATTATAGCAAATACATTATCAAATCAAATCAAAAATATTAAAAAATAAATTAAAAATGAATATTAAAATAAAAATATATATTAAAATAAAATAAATATTAAAAAATAATGGGCTGTTTTTCTACTTACACCTACATTTTTCAAATTACAAGATTCACAAACCTTAAATTCATCTTGCAATTGTGAATATTGTTCTCTCATGCGATCATGATCACAATGAGACTTCTCTAATTGTTCTTGCAATACTGCTGCTCTAGTTTCTAGAGTATCTTTTTCTCTTCGAGCTGCATCTAACATTTCATCTGCCTCACTACGATTTTCTAACTGACGTTTTTGCTCGAATTCTGCAATTTTAGCTCTTGCATTTTCTAGTAAAGTGGCCAGTCTGTTGATTTCAATATTACGATTAGCTGATTCTTGCTTGGATTCAGCTAATTCAAGATCTAAAAGCTTTCTTTCAACATTTGAAGCATCAATAGATGTTTCAAGCAAGTGTACACGTTTTGACAATCTTTCTACTTCATTATTACTAGCTTCAGATGTGCTGTGAAGAGCTTTCAATTCCGCAGTAAGCTCTTCTTGTTTACACATAAGGCTCTCACGTTCTTCTTGAGCACTCTGTAAATTATTGCAAGATATAGATTAATGCAATGTAAATTTATTTTAAATGTGTTTTTTTATAAGTACGTTACATATGAATACCTTTAATAAGTCTACAAGTTTTTGTTCTCTCTCTGTGTTGTAACCCTTTACAGTATCTTGAGATGGTTCATCTCTCAACAGTAATCCTTCTAAAGTATAAACTTTTGATCTTGAATCTTCCAATTTCTCTGTTTGTCTACAAAGTGATTCCAACAGAACACCTTTCTCTTCTGACAGCCTATAATTGTCTGCTTGAAGTTCATTTAATTGAGCCTGAAAATAATTAAAAATTGAAGCTATAATTTTTAAATAAAATAGAATCAAACTCTCATAACTAAAAAAATAATTTGGCAAGCATGATCACAAAGATAAAATATATCTGTGTAGCTGATTACATTTTGATTGTAGCATGGAAATTATTTTAAATTTTTTCATTTTAAATTACCTGTAAATCACTTAGTTCTTGAATTGTCGCTTGTAGTTCTTCATTCGTGGAATAATGAGTTTCTTCCATTTGTAGTATTCTGTCCTGTAAACAAGCTACAGATACTTCAGAACTGGTTGATCGCTTATCCCACTCCGGTGTGGTACTTCTGGCATTTTCATGGCTCATGTTATTAATGCCAACACAACTGTCCTCTTGCATTACAGCAATGGAAGCTGGTGCTGAATTGTGCAATCGTGATGCATCTAAAAGCTGCTGTTTTTCTGAATCTGACAAGGGAGAGTGTACAACATCACGGAGTCTACTTCGTAAGGCTTCATTTTCTTTGGCAAGACGCTCCAGTTCTAATGAATGCTGCTCCTTAAAAAATAATGTTTTTTAATGAAAAAAACTGCATTTCACTTGCATTATGCACAATTCATAAAAAAATATTTGATAATTTAAGCAATTGTTAAAAATATAGAAGGTGAAAAATACTTTTTCTACTTTAATTTTTTCCTTACATTATAAAAGAAAAGTTTCATAGTAAAAATTGGAAAATCATTGTTTGAAATCAAGAAAAAAATAAAAACAATTTAAGAGCTTTATTTTTTGTAACAATTGACTTGGAGGTAAAATTTATGTATAAAAAAAATTACTTAATACAGGTTCAAGCAATGATAATTATACAATAAAAATAGTTAAATTCCGATTTTCTATTGCTCTTGAAAAAATGTAAAAAAATTGAATGGTCGAGTGGTATTGTTTTGAAACGTTGAAAAAGTGTCAATTGGGAAACGGGAGTCAAAGCGACGCTACGTTGGAAATCGGACGTACGGGCGGCGATAAGAAAGCAATTAGGCGGACAATTAGAAGAAATAAGTACTACGTTAAAGGTTATGTAACGCGTAGCGGCCCTCTCGGCGTCCATCTCGTTCGAAAACTCAAAAGCCTGCAGATCGGGAATACAGGTATGTGTGTAGGTATGTGCTATATAGCAGTGTACATGTAATGTAGACAACATACCAAGAAGCCGTGAAGTGTGTAAGAATGACATTACTGCGCTCGTTCAGAGACGCATTCGAGGTGTTGGTGTACATGCTTAGAAGTAGTAAATTAAAATGTAAAATGTATAATAAACATAAGTTGTGTGCGGATAAATATAAGAATGATATATACCGTCGGCGACAAGTGCGGTCGTTTAATCATAGCAGGGGGCTGCTGCTACTGCTCTGTAGTTTCAACAAGTCAAAACACATAGCTTATTGCATGTAGAGCGAGAGAGCGAGAGAGAAAGAGAGAAGGTATATTACAATATATAGCGCGCAGCTCCATACGCCTTGTACAGCCAAGAGCAGTACATACACTGGAGATAGGTACAGGACTCGGGCGATTTGCAAGAGGTATATTATACGCGATCGACGTTACCGAAGTATATATATATGTGTACGTGCGCGGCGCGCGCCTAGGCTTATTACAAGCCGCGTTCGCCGTTTTCTCGCTCTGCTCAGCGGACTCGCTATACGAGTCGTACGAGTCTTGCAGCAGCAGAGGCAGGCGCAGAGAGGCGCGTTAGAATAGACTACGGTATATAATACGCGCTCGGCGCGGTGCGAGTCTCTCTCGGCTACTCGCCGAGTAAAGCTACGCCAGCCAGCCAAGCCAAGCCAGGAAGAGGAGGAAGAGGAGCAGAGGGAGTCGCGCGCGGAGGAAATTTCATCTGGCACGGAATACCTCATAGTCGTAGGTATATAAGACATGTACACACACACACACTCTGTGTGTGCCTGCCTATGTATATGCGCTGCACAAAACGGCAGCACTTGGCCAGCCTGCTAAAGCCGTATATATACTGTAGCGTAGCTGCAGCGCACTGCACACGGCTGACGGCGCTCCGGCTCTCTGGCAGACAGCAGCCTACGCCGAGTCTTGTGCCTCTCTCTCTCTCTCCCTACGAATCGCAGCAGTATATATAACTCGGCTATTATACACCTATGCCCAACTGCATACCTATATAGATGCACATACCTTACGTCTCTCTTGCAGTGCATAGGAAGTATATACTGGGCACGTGTATATATATAGAGCTGCAGCGAACAGTAGATCGAGCATTTGTGTATATATACAAGTATACAGGCGCGGGACATATTGTATAATTGTAACTGCTCCGAACGCGTTGCAGCTGTACATATCTTGTAGCCCGAGCCGTTGCATAGTTTTGTTTTATTTGATGTCCGCGTGCCTCTCTACATATGCGTGCGCGCGGCTGCACAGGCTGCATAAGACGGAGCTTTAGGGCCGCCGCCGCTACGATCGAAAATTATATTTTTAGACGCGTCTCGAGCGCGCAGGAGATCGAGCGTTGACTCGCGGCCTGCGATGCAACCGCATAGCGCACACAGATCGGTCCTCTATGTATCTCGCGCGCGCGGTAACGCCGATACAGCAGAGCTTCGATACGCGCGACACGGTATAGGCGCGAGGCGAGCGTGGCAGGTGATGGCTGACTTGATTTGTGGAGCGCGGAGCATGACGCAGAGAGGAAAGCCGAGTAAGCGAGCACCGCCGCTACAAAATGCGCGCAACACCTATCGGCTACCTTATACCTCTTGCACGGTATAGGCCCCCGAGTGTAGCTGCTCGTGTGTACTACGAGAGCTAGCGGCTAGCGGGCGACTTTTCCAACTACGGGGACTCTTGCGCTTCGCGACGATATATTTACGAACCAGTTCCGATATCTGCAATTGTACTCGACGCTGCGAACTAGACGTTTTTTTTATTTAGGCCGCACTTTCGTTACCTAGTCAGCGTCGAGTCCGCGCGTCTTCTAATCCCCCTTAGCGTGTCATTTGCGTTTGATGTATTTTTACGAAAAGCGAACATGTTTGCTTGTTTTCTCCTCGAGTCTCTGATTGCAGTACTTTTTTTGGACAAGCATTCGACAGAAATTGCAGCGAGAAAGAAACTGGCTTCGAAATTTTCCTCGGTCATGGTAAAATACATCGGAATTCACTCACAGAGAGAAATGTGTACTTAATACCCGTTAATTGGCACCGCTACTAACCAGGACATCCTTCGATGTATGAATTTAGCGACATTCGAACTTTACTATCTCAACGATTTTTCAACGTAATCCGATCTTAGAGTCGCCTTACGTAACGCGAATGCCTTCGAAGGAAGATGTGAAAACGAAGCCATTGTCTATTATTGAGCGATTAAATGAGAGCAGAGGCCTACTGTATACATAATACGCTTGCAACTTTTTTTTCAATAAACAAACGAATGCATGTAGCAAATATAAATGCGGGATCATATTTTAATGAATTTTCGTATATTTTATTCGTCTACAACGGGATTGGTAATTTGTTTTTTCTAAAAAATTTCATCAAGTAGTTTAATTACAACAGTGGGAGTATTAATTTTACTTCATGCAGTCACGCAATTGAAGCTAGCTGCTATTACGTTTCTGCGACATGCAATGGAGACGAGGCATGGACTGCACAGCACAATTGGATCTCTCTCTCTTCTCTCGTAAAAAAACGCGTGTTTCATATATATCTCAATGGAGAGACACACGGCGAGAGTTCGATGAAAATTAAATTTTAGCTGCACTAAAAAAAACTACTCGTAAAGTCGTTCGCACGATGAAATTCGTCAACAATGCTTTTTTCTCGATAACTGCCATCGTCGGCGAGAATATTTGCGTGCGTGCGCGCGCGGGCTTTCATAAATACATTATTTGATTGTTCAATACACTTTTGTACTTTTGGTTGTTGTTGCAATGCATACAGTGCACTTCTCTGTTCCACAAAATGAAATTAATCCGTGTTATCGACGGATCATAGAATTTTTTTTATCGATTTACATTTTGTAGAGCAGATGCTTTAATAAACGGTGGCATTAAAAGGACGACTGGATTTTCGGGGAAAGCGTTAGCGAGAGAAAGTGCGACACGGCGGTAGCGGCGCGTTGGATGAATTTGCACAAAGTTATTCGCTAATTCTCTTTAGAAAGTATTTGTGCCGTGACAGTAATGATAATGACGCCGCGAGTGCTCGCTCTCGATCGATTATTAAAACTGCGAAATTTGTAACATAAAATTTTATCTAAATTGAAAATCATGTTTGTATATATTTTAGCTATTTGGCCTGCACTCGATACCCGCGGAACACGATTAAATAATTGTATACTTTGAAAATTCAGCACGATATCGCGCTGCGACTGCTTACTCGCGGTCGATTTCAAATATTTAAAATTCATAACTATTTTTCGATCCTATTAATTAAAATTACTCGATGTATCAATTTGTAAAAAGTACAAATTTTCTTACGATGAAAACGATTTCGATCTGCTAATCAGCTTTCACGCGGGGAAATAAATTATCTCCGATAAACGATAAACTCATTTCAATCAACGAAGATGGTGCAGAATTTAAACGTACAGCGAAGCTATTACGCGCGCGTCAAGCGTTTTATGGTACAGTCTCGGAAATGTAAAACAATTATTTGCCTGTACTTATAATAGACAATTTACAACCTTGAAAGATAATATGGCGAGCGAGCGTATGCCGTGCGCATACGAAGTGCAGCTTCACTTCTAGTGGGCTCGAATTATTGTGCGAGCACTTTTTTATCTCTTGATCTTTGTTGGTCGCGCGCGCGCGCGAGTTAATTATCGAACGAATTCAAAGCGATCGAATTCACTGATTTTACACAATGTAATTTTGGTGTCAGTGGTCCTGCTTTGTTCAAAACAAACGATTGTTACTTTTGTTAGTCATACACACACACAGCTCGATAAAAAAAAGCTCCGAACGCCTCTGCTCGACTTTTCCAGTCGCAATTGTTCACTCCGAAAAGCACGTATTGTTGATTATTATAAAACTTAAAGCTAATGTCAATTATCAGCACAAGGTGGAACTCGTTATTTTTAAAAGCGTGAGTAGTTAGCCGCAATTTTGAATGTAGAAAAGGAGATAAATGTATATATACCTAGGAGCAAGAAAAGAATTATGTATACGCGTGGCGCGTGTCCGCACTTGTCACCGGTTCGAGCGAGTAGTCTGCACTAAACTGCAGCACGTCAAGTCTCGGGCCTCGGGATCGCTCGCGAGTTACAAGTATACGTAAGTAGCGACCCGATTCACGCGCGCTACACAGTAGCGACTCGCCAAAACAGCCGTCCACGCCGCTGCAGCAAGCGAGTCTACTGTATGCGCGCGCGAGCTCCGCTACAGCGTACAAATACGTTATAACGTTCCCGCCATGCTCCGCGCTGCACCGCCTATGCAGTTGTAATCATCATCGGCCGCACTCTCGTGGCTTCCGTCAGCTGACTGATAATTCAACTCGTACTGTACGTTATATACGAGCAAAGAACCCGAGTGCAGACCAGCTTATAATGTGCTTGGCGCGAGTTTGTAGCCGCGATCGGGCACGTGCGCTCGTTCGAGCAAAATTTCGATTTTTCTGTCCTGCGCGTGAGCTCGCTCCTACGTATAACAAGATCAAATCGCGTATGAAAAGCACACGACACTTGTCGTGAGCGCAAAACACGAATACGTGTATGATTGTATGGAGTGGCGAGCGCCAATGATGTTTTTTTTTTCAGCTGTACAACAATACGGATTTCTAAATGACCACACGAGCGAGAACAATGGGAAATCGTAGAAGCAGATCGGTTAGTTCGTCTCTGCTAGTGCTGGCTCGAGCGCGCGCCTCGTATAGTTTTTTAATCTATTTCAAGCAGAACGCGCCTGCTTTTTAATGAGCAACTTAACCGAGCGTCAAGGAAAATAAGACTTTCGATGGCAAATTGGAGAGTATAGGAGTTATAAACAAGGAGCAACGTGGAGTGAGAGCGTAACGGGCCTATCTCCTGCTGTGTACAGTGCACATCTCGACGCACGAAAAATAAATGTAACTGCGGCAGCACACGTTAAAATCTTTATCAGGCTTTTCATCGACGCGCGCCTGCTTTAATTACATTTACGTTTGTCCTGTTAGCTTAACTAGTTAATTACGACCGTAAAAATTACGAGAAATTGAAAACCTTCTTACATCCTTCAAGTGTGCAGAGTTAGTTCTTTTTTCCTTTATTATAAGGGTATGACCGTACCGATAGCCGGCAACTAACGAAAATTTATACTTGAGTTGATTACTACTAAATGAGTATACTTTTTGTTCAATAAAGTGCTCATTGGTACCGTCGTTCTTTATAGAAAATTTTAAGCCTTAGGTTTATGTAAACAATGATCGATTCCATCACCGTAAATATTATTCATTTGACATTAAAGTTTTACGAATAATTCGAAAATCTAATGGCTTCACATGCCCGAACTTCATGTTACTGATTAATTTATTTTCATTGTTCATGTGGGTAGTAGAATTCATAAAAATTGTTTCAGAGTTTTGCTTTAGTTAATAAATGACAATTAGAAATAATTGTGTTTCTCTAAATTGATGTCACACAAGTGGTCAGTGAGTTCAAGACTTTTAGTTGACGTCAATGTTGTTATTAATAAGACTACACATGACGTTTGTAACACTATATACATGTGTACAATGTTTGAACTAATTTAATTATGTACTTCATTGGATAGTACAAACGTTCTATTATTGTAGTTGTCGAATAAACTGACCGAAAATATACTAGCAAAAACAATGTTATCAATTTTTCTCTCATTTAATGTATGTATACTTTTAATACTTCTTATTAATTTTATTTCCCAGTTTTCTATTATTTAGCACAAATAATACGTTTTTATCGTGCATCTTTATTCTGCACTTTTATAAAATCAAAATTTAGAATTAAATAGTTCTCCTCATTCTTTCTTCCCAATACATACTTCATTAAATTTGGTTCATGTGTCACAAACAAATCAAATTTAAATTTATGAAAATTTTGATACATTTCTACAACTTTCAATAATTAATGCAAAGTATATTTGATTACAATTTTTAAAATTTCAATAACCAACTCAAATTAAAAGTTCGTATTACTATATATGAATATTCGTATTATAAAATAAAATTAAAATTTGAACAAACCTTAAGGGTAGTAAGCTCATTATATTGCTCCTCAAAGCGTCTGCTTTCTCTATAACTATTTTCAATTCTGCTTCGCTCAATTCTCAACATCTCATTTTCTTGCTCTAACTCTTGCAGACGATGAATTAAATCTGCAGGTGAAGTTGAAATTCTTGAACCAGTTGAAAGCTTTGACGTTGAAGTTGCAGGGGTACCTGCAGATGAGTTTGCAATCTGCAATAAAAGACATTATTATGCTATACTAAATATTTTACTACTAATTTTTCATAAGAAACTAAAATTTATAATTTTTCTAGAACTTATTGTTAAAAGAATGTGAAGCACGTGTCTTTTTCTATGATGCACACATAAATTTTGTAATAGATAAAAGAGATTTTTGATATTAGTATTTTGAAAAACTGTACTGTAATATTTGTTATTGTTTTATAATAGAATAATATAAATTATTCAATAAATCTAAAAAGAATAAAATAAGGTTTAAATGACAACAATTTTTACATACTTGATTATTTCCTTGATGCTTAGAATTTGTCATGTAAGATTGAGGTCCTAAGCTTCTACTATCACGATAAGTTAAAGAACTGGATGAAGAGGATAGCCAATCATTATTTGATCGTCTAGGTTTCATTTCAGATACAGGAGGCTGGTGAGATCCTTGACTTTGAACAGAAGCAACTTGTTGATGCTGATGTAATGGATACTGATGATGGGTTTGTTGTTGCGCTTGCTGTTGTGGATGTTGTTGTTGATTTGTATGTTGATTTTGCTGTAAATGAGATTGCTGCTGCTGTTGGTGGTGGTGTTGATGCTGTTGTGGTTGTTGTTGCTGTGATTGATGTTGCTGCTGCTGTGACTGATGTTGTTGCTGCTGTTGGATTGGTCTTTGTCTATGTTTCTGATGAGAGGAATGATTTTGTTGTCCTCTTCGGAAAAGTGATTTAAATTTCATCATGATTATGGATGATGATGTACTGCTTGTGCAAAACAGGCAATAATTCCATAAACCCAAAAAATAACTAATACTTTTGATTTTCAATCCAACTTTCTTTTTCAATAATCACAACCAAATGTTCACCTGCAGAAAAAATAATAGTAATCAAATTAGTGATTTTTATTCAAATTCATATGATCAAAATTTTAACTTAGAGAACATAAAAAAACAATTTTTTGTAATATTAATTCAGCAAATTCAAATTTTTGTCCAAAATTGTTTGGTAAACTAGATTCAAAATAATATTTAGAATCATAAACTACAATTTTAAGGAAAATTAAAAAGTTTTTAGTACAATTGTTGCTTCCACTTTTACAGTCATCAAATTTCATTCAAACAGTCAAGAGCAATTTTAAATCACAAAGAAAGATAATTCATAATTCATTTTACACTTAAATCGACATTAACAACGAACTGTGAAAGGAAACTCTATCTCATACAATTTTTGAAGTGATTCATCATTCAAAGCGTCATCGGATCAATCTCACGAAACCAAGCATTCATGTCTCTTTTAGTAAACACATACGTGATGTTCGTTACCTACTTATTGGCATATTAGTAAATTAGACATTGATGCAGGATAGAACTATGAATGTATTAATCCGAAGTGAAATAATAACGCGAACATAATGGACTACACAACACTGCTAGATGTAAACTGATTTTTGAGTCACAAGTTTAAGCGATTTACATGCATTGTGCACTCTACAGGCTGCAGCTGGCAGTAGCTTATTATACCTTTTACTAACAGTGACCAATCCCCACCATCATCAATTCAGCGAACAGGGGGCAAATAAGTAAGTATAACCGAGGATTCAGGACTATAATAACGAACTCAGCGTCCTTACGTACATTTACATGAAGATCAACATTATTTTTTCGTTGATTTGATCCGCATGATTATTTATTGTAAAATTTCGTCCGATCGTTGTCCGGTTGGATTTGTTATTGAGATGTGAAATATCTATATTTTAATATATGTATGTAACCGGTGTAGCTGCTTCTGCAGATACACGACTAAATTTATTATTTTCTTTTAATTGCTTTTATTTGGTCAATTTCAGGTTCAGATTCCAATTTTGAAGATACTTATGGCTAGTGTAGATTAAAATTAAGGTTGTCACCTACGCCATGAGAAAACAATAAATACGGATAAAATTTTTTAGACCCGTGAATATCCCTTGAAAATTGCATGAAAATAATTTAACATCAACTTAATTGTTAGATTGTCATTATAAATTAACAAGCATTTTCCTCAATAAAAATTGAAGTAGTATTTTAAAAAATGACCGGGTTACGTTTATCTACGTTTTTTAGATACCATCAATGAGTCTGTGAGGAAAATTACACAATCGTGTTTTAATCAGATCTCTATGATAAGAGCTTGTTTATATAGTGATTTGTTTTAAATAGACAAGTTATAGTCGATCAACTATGTTTTAAATTAGATAGTGTTCTTTTTTCATTGTCAGTTTTGTTTTGGAGTTTAAAAACGTAATATTTATCGATTTAGACTAAGTTCATGTAAATAAGCTGTAATAGAGCAAGTTCTCTGATACTTCGAATCGACTATTTGTAGCCAGATAATTAAATCCAACGTATCAGCACTCACTGAATCAATATCGCTTGAAAAAATTTAATATCAATAAAAGTTTGATTGGTCATTACTTAAATTTTAATCAAATTAATTATTAGAAACCATTGTTTTATTATTTCCATCGGTGATGTGCAATCGGTAATTTACAGTGAAGGGTACACAGGTAATCAATATCAGAGTATCTCACGCAAGTTTCTAGTATTTTATTTTTTATAATTAACGAGATAATTGTAATGCGGATATATGAATATTCATAATCAAAAGCAAGTAATTAAATGATTTGGAAAAATTTAAGTACCGTAAATTACAAATTGGTACCAATTTGACACCTATTTCAATGGATTTTCAAGAGTTTATACTACTTACAACAAAGTATAGTCGTGTATATAATGAATAAATTTAATTTATTTGATCAGCTGAATCAATATTTTAAGCGATCTTTTGTAAGTTTTAATCTAATGCTTGAATCTTTTGGTAAATTTTTTCGAAAAAAATTTTCACAAACGGTTAACTATTTAAAACCAAAGGTTAAAAGGAATTTTTTCTTAAATTTCAATTATAACAGGTTATTCCAAAAACTTAAAAAAAAGAATAGTTGTATGATGAGTTTCTTTGAAAAGAATCTTCAAGACAATTTAAAATAGCACAGTATTTTATTCGTCAAAATTGGGAACGATCTTATCAAATTCTATTGTTAAAAAGTTGTATTTTTTTCTATATCATCACGCGTATTATAAAGTGAAACGCCAATAGTTTTGCACGTGTAATATTTCAACGATGAAAATCTGATTGGAAAGTGAAGATTGAAATCATGCGTGCATATGTAATACGATAATCGTCATCTCAAGCCTGTATAAGGTAATTTTGAAAAGCTTTTCGACCGACAAATAAATGAATATTTAAAAACGTGTAGCACGAGTACATAAAACATTTCCCTGGTTGTACAAGGTGAAAAGCTGCGACAATCAACACCTACTCGCCGACCAGACCGGAGGTCGTAGCTTTTGCAACGACGTCGCGATTTGTTCACAAAAAATTTCGTAAAAGCGCATGGATTATTCATGCGCTTCGCCCACGAGATAATACTCATAGTGACAATCTGGGTTACAGAATACTGAGCAAATATATGAATATTACGACGCCTGTGCTTTTTTATTAATCGTAATTTAGCATGAATAAGTTACGAAGCTTGGGTGACAAAATGAAAGAAAAAAAACGCAGTTTAAAATCAATAAGCAACTGTAAAAGTACAGCTGTGAAATGTGAAACTTTTTTTATGATCTTTTGTAGATAAAGAATTTGTTGAGGTCCGAACAAATGAACAAATTCAATTTTTGTTTATTTCGACTGTAACACTCATAGTTACACAAAAGTACGTCAGAAAGCTTCTGGAGAATTTCAGTTTGATTCTACTTGAAAATTCAGCCATTTATATTAAATATGGGAACATACAACGAGAACATGTGAGAACAAACCAAAAAAATGTAGGTTAATTTTAATTTATTGTATAAGAAGTGCTTACAATCAACTAGAAAATACAATTATTTGTAAAGCAGCTAAAACCTGGGGCCTTAAAAGTAATTAGCCCTTTCTCGGAACTTGGAGAATATAATCAAAAATTTTTACATAATCGGTTGACATGTTATTACATACATTATGCTAAAAACCTTAAAAGGGTAGGTAGTATGACCTATGCTCAGCATAATTACCACGAGCGAATGACAGCATTTGTTTTTCTTTTTTTTTTCCTCTTTGCTTTGGTTCAACTCGTAATCGTCGTGGGTTCGTCTGACCGATCGCACAGTGAGTTCGGCCGCGGTATTATACGGCGCTCTGTATATATAATAAGCTTGAAAAACGAGTCGCGTCGCTTAATTGCTCCGTGTGCAAGCCGCAGCGATAGGCTTTGCGCCCATTGTTATCATCGGCACGCCGCGATATAGAGTTTATCAGCTCTCGGAGTCTTGTTGCCGCGGTGGCAACAGCATTATATGTATACACGTTTCGCTCGGGCGGGCGGAGCGCTCGATACAATATTTGCACGCGCCTTATTATACGTTACATCGATCGGCGCGGCCGCGATCGGCCTTTTTTTTTGCGCCGCGGTGCACATGCGATTGCGCGACGAGCAATAACACACGCGTCGCGATCGAGCTATGCGCGCAGCTCCATACGCATTTCCACAGCTGATATCGCGGGTGCGCGCTAGAACGCGGCAGCGCAGGGATAAATGTTTGCTAAATTTGTCGCAGGTAACGATAGCTGATACATATACATAGCCTCGATACGATACGCGTCTCGAAGTGCCTCGCGATACAGTACGGCGGTGACATCTTTCAGCACGACGCAAACTTGGACGGCACACCACGGCGAAGTCTCGTGTTATGTGTGTTTGTGCGCGCGCTGCAGTGCGCTGCATGACTCTGTATAACAGTGCACCGCACTCATTTCCTTCGCGAGCCTGCAAAATTGTCATCGTGCATGCACATACGTAAACGTATACGTGTGCGCGCGCCTCTATTCTTAAATATCATTCGCATGCGACAGCGTCGTGCAGCTACGTTCGAGGAAAGCATAATTGAAAAGTCAAGTCGCGCGCGCTGTACAAGGCTCGGAATGGACTTTTTTTTTGTAAGCAGGCAGCCTATAATGAAAGAGCTACTCTCGATCCGTATAGTAGCAGCAGCTACTCTCTATCAATTCATTTTCTCAGAGTCGCAGCGCGAGATCTCTATAGTGCACGCACACATGCACGTGTGCAAGCGCGATTTCTTGTGTGTACATAAGCTCACGTACGCTTAGCACACATAAAAAGTCACCTATACATATATGAGTATAGCACACACATGTATGCATTGGCTTCCTGTGTTACTTCGCTGTAGTAGTAGTCGTTTTGGGAGTGAAAGGATGTGTGAGTGTGCGTGTGCCTGCGCGACTTTTCGATCCGTGTGTGTGTGTGTACTATATAACTGTATATGTCGCTGAGAATCCGTGATCTTTTTACCGCTGATAGCTGTATGACTATGTACTTGTTTGTACACGCGAGCGATCGACGTAGATATTCCGCATAAACTTTCATTCGTACGTATCATTGTGAATGATTAAACCTCGTATTATAAGTGTGTACACGGCATTCCGAGGCATTGGGAGCGCGCACGACACTAAAGTCTCTCGATTACGGAACGAAAAATCAGCCTGATATTTGGCCGATACGAACGACGGCAAAAAAAGCTGCTTTTCAAACTGCATCGCAGCTCTCGCGCGATCGCTGAAAACTCGTATCGTCAGCAATGCGATGGAAAAATTAATTTTCACTTCTCGCGCGACTCCATAATATAATGCTGGATACTTTCATCCGCGACTCGACCTACATGTACAGCGCGACGCACGCCTATTTTTCAAGCGACTTTTTTTTCGCACACTTGTGTGCTTTTACGCATTGTCGATGAGCAAACGATACATTAATGAGCGAACGGCCGCCACGCTG